ATACTGTCTTGCCCTGCGAAAAGCACTATATGGATTGAGACGAAGCCCACTGCTATGGCAAAAGAATCTGGAGAGATCATTCAAGAAGCTTGGCCTTATCCCACTCCAAGAAGATGACTGTATCTACACCAATCAATACTTCATAGTATTCCACTTTGTGGACGATATTGGGGTTATATACCATAAAAAGCATGAAACCAAAGTAAAAGAAGCAGTTCAACAACTCAAAAAGGAGTATGAAATGAAAGATATGGGAGAATTGAGTATCTTCCTAGGAGTCAGAATAATAAGAGAACGAAAAACCCGTCAACTATGGATGAGTCTCGACAACTATATATCTAAGGTCACTGAAGAATTCAAGATCAGAACCTCAACCAAGCGACGCCAAACACCTATGGCAATAGATAACCTGGTCCCAAGTCCTGGTCAGGCTACGCCAGAGGAAATCAACTACTATCAACGGAAGGTTGGATCAATCAACTATGCTGGAGTGATTGGCAGACCAGATATAGCTCGAACAAGCTCGAGACTAGCAGAATTCCTATCAAATCCATCTTCTGAACACCAGAAAGCAGCATATGAATGCTTACAATATCTTGAGGACAACAAATACCTCGCTATCGAGTTCAACTGCAAAGGGAAAGGAGTCCTCTACTGCGCCTCAGACGCTTCATTCGCTGATGACTCTGTCACTCGAAAAAGCACTCAAGGATATGTGATGATGCTATTCGGAGGTCCAATTCATTGGAAAGCAGTCAAACAACGAAGAGTAGTCACTTCAAGCACAGAAGCTGAGCTTGCTGCTTTGACAGCAGCCACAAGAGAATATATGGCAACCATTCGACTCATGGAACAATTGAATCTCCAATTAGATGATAAATACATCATGCAATGCGACAATAAGCAAACTCTTCGACTATTGATTGCTGAAAGACCCCAAGCGACTAGCAAATTACGCCATATCAATATCAACAACTTATGGCTTCGCCAGGAATTACAGAAGGGATCAATTGACTTTCAATGGGTTCCAACCAACGAAATGGTGGCAGACGGTATGACTAAAGCAATGCCAGCCCAAAAACACAACCACTTTATCGCCCAATTGGGTATGGCGAATATTGAACATTTGATCGAGAAGAACGCAGTATGAATCTGGAATTTGGTAGTAAGTATACGGAGTTCTGAATAGTATCATTTCTGTATTTGAATGAGAATACAGAGAATCAACCTACAACAGGTTGCCTCTCTGAGGGGGTGTGTCACACGGACCACTGCATATATCGGGGCATGCATTCAACCCATGCACCCGGCTATTGTTTCCCATATAAAACTAACGGGGATGTCATTTTGTGCATGAAAACCTTCAAATCGGTAATTACCGAATAGACGGTTATATAATCAACCCAATAACCCCTAGACAGTCTCTAATGAATGGAAGCATCTTTTTTTACCACATAAGTGGTGGGCAAATTGACTGCGTGACAGTTGGTCTAAACTGGGGAAAAGCCCCGAGCAGCGGATTCCGTGGGAAAGACTTGCATAAGATCCTCATTACGGAGTACACCATGATGCGCCCTAGGATTCGTTTGAATGATTGGGCCAGCAATGGCTCTAACCACAAATCGAGTTACGTCTTGACATGGCGTCTGCAAAGTTTTGCCGACATCACATATGACTTGCTTGCTCGCACTTGAATTCCCAGCCGGCGTATTTTATTTCTCTTTAAGCCCTTGCATTAAATGGCTCGCTTGTCTCTCTGATGCATGACCTAGGCGCGGCTGTTTGAGACGCCTATTCCTATCCTGTGCTAGGATTCGACAGACTGTCTTGGTGGTGAAGGCAAAGACAACGACATCGATGATTTTGGTATGTATTCGACCTTTCGTTGGGTCTCGACTATCACAGTCTACTTTCTGGTTTCATAGTGGTCACAACTAACAGAATGATTAGTTATTTAAATTGAGTCAAGTGTGCATCAATCTCTACCTACCTTTGCTGGCTGTTGCTCGTCGTTGTTATGCGCCAAATTCACGTGCGCCGTGGCTTCGGAGCCATTGACGTACCGATACAAAGGGTCGGTCAATGCCGTCCAGCATTCCAAGAGCTGGGGCCGACAACAGGGTCGTTTCCACCGGTTCCGGGCGGTGCCGCGCAATATTTCGGGATTCTCGTTACCGCCAACGGCCACCGGTCGAGTGAGACGTCGTCAAACACCTTGACGGCATTCCTAGTGCTGTCATAGTGCAAGTATAAAGCTTAATAGGCGCATCTGGGATATCGCCTCCGCGTTCGGCTCCAATCGCTTTTGCAGTACAAATGTGCTCAGCAGCTATTCTGGAAGCGAGATTAGTGAGGAACACGTGTGTCTAGCGGGCGATTACCTACCACACACACCCTTTTGAACCAGGGTTATTTTTCTATTCCCCTTCTTTTGGTTTCTTTGGCGACCAAGACGTAATATTAATCTGTCCAATAGGGAGTATTCCAAGATCTACTCAGATCTGGTACCTATGAACGGGAAGACATTCCATTTGTACCCCAAGGACTCGACCACTGTTTGCAGATGGCTTTTTGCGATTATCGGCCTGTGGCCCAACCCTACTGCCTACCTCACAAGTGTCGGTTGGAATCTTTGGTCGCAGGAGTAGGGTATAGAGCAAGCCAGGGGTGCCATGAGTGAAAGAATGGCTGTAGGCCTGGCCAGCCGGTGCTAACATGGCCCTCCCGCTCTGGGTCCCCTCCCCACATTGTCATTGCCGTGGGCAAGACAGGAGTGCCGCTGCTAGATACCCTTGACGGCCGCAAGACCACCCCCAGACCATCAGTATACCCTGATTCGCATGGTATACGAATGATGAGCGCATCGGCTCCCCTGGGATATCTCGGAACGCAGCCGCGAGCCGCTCCCATGCCTCCGCTAACGCTCATCTTGAACTAATCCAGCCCAGAAATGAGGGGGTATGCAACACGCGAAGCCAGCCTTGACGAACGTCTCGCCCCTAGCCGCCAACGCTGGTGCTTCCGCCACAAGTCTATGCGCAGCGCCAATTCTAGGCGAGTCCACGCATCTCGTTGACTAAGTTGTCGGGCGCGGAATGCATGGACTATGCAGGACCTGTTTCCACGTCCCCTTGGTTGCGTGAGAGGCCGCATGATGACAAGGAGAAGAAGAAATTTGACAGCCTCATGAATGCTGTTGTCCAGATATCACGGCATCCGTTCGATTCGAGCCATGCAGGAAACCCTTGCTTCTTTTTAGGGCTCGCCGGCTCACACAAATGCGACAAGTTTGGCAATGAGGTGAAATTGGTCGCTCTTACCATGATATAAATGCTCGTCTCCGGCCCCTTTTGCATGGGAAGCAGAAGACAGGCCCCCCGACAACCCCGAATAACGCGATCATCTCATCACACACTCAAGAGCGCTTGCGCTCGCGTTTTACGCTGCCAATCTCGATACATAGTCAAGATGTTCAACTTTCTCTTCGGAAACTCACCATCATTGCCGTGAGAATAAACTATGCCTCTGATTTAAGCACTAACTGGGACTGACCGATGACCACTCTCAATAGGGACGGAATTCGGCCCTCTGCGAGCACGAGACCTTACGTTATCTCGACCAACCCCAAACCACGCCCATCGGATACTCAACCAAGCCCTCCCCCGAGCCCTCCACCGAACTCGCAGACTCCTGAAAACCCTTCATCCGGATAGCAGTCAACCGGCATGTCTCCTGAGCTTCCGATTCGCAGGGCGTAACGAAATAGGAGAGGGGTTCACGGGTTGCTAGGAAGCGCCAATTTGGACCTTACCACGTAGTAGGGATCAGCGTGGACAAGGGGGGTGTGCTTGTATGATCTCAGGGCCGCGTGACCCCCTCCCAATGTGCAATTTTTTTTTCTGTTGTCGGTTCTCACGGGCAGATGCTGAGAATCCCCTTTTGACACGTTGGCCAATCAATACACAAAGGGTTGCGGTTGTTTGAAACTCTAGTTATCACAACACAAAACAACGGTGCTCAGCTACACAACAACATTATTTCAATCAACCACCTCTGTCGTACACAAAAGTCTGATATTGCGTGAGAATCGTGAATTGTCTCCGTAAACTCTTTGACTTGTCTGATGCTATGTGTCCCATTTGGAGAAACCTCGTCGTTACACCTCGAGTCCCTCTCAAGACTAGAGCGCCAATTTCTGTCCATCTTCCAAATGAAAACTACCGTTCAGTCGCATATGGCCCGCCTTTTGAAATTCCCTCAAAATCACCTGACCTGCTTCTTTGTGCCGGTCGGGATATAAAACTTATTTGATTGCAGTGAATAAGAAAGCATGAGTGTGTGGCTGAGGGATGTGGCTGGAGAAGTGCGCCACCTGCATGACGCTTTCCGTCCCGCCTACCTTACGGCATCAACGTAAGACATGCAACTCAATGCTTTTAGTTTAAAGAGACTACTTCCGAAATTTCGAAGACCTCTTGTTTTTGAGTGAAAGGGACTCGCTGCGCTTCTTCCCTCTCAACTCTCAACTTTGACACTGAAACTTGGGAGTTTGAACAAGACATAGTTAGACACAAATTACTATGTTCATTTCAACACTAACACAACTCCTGCAGGAAGCAACTACTGTTACTTGGCACAAAACACTTAAAGCCACACACTAACAAAGCCTCAGCCCATTTATCACAACCATCCGGGTAGAACTGCCACTACGTCTACCGATTCGATGACGTCGAGGCAAGTTACCTCGTCTCAGTAAAAGCAACAGAAGCCTGGTAGAGAGACGGAACAACCCAAGCCCAAACCTCATAGGTCCGAAGTCCTCTCAAACAAACTAGTCAGGAACGCAACAAGCACAGCAAGATACGCGCAGATCCCCAGCAGGATAGTTGAAGTCTGGGCGCTTTCGAGCCAAACCATGACAATGGTGAAGATGACCGAGAAAGCAATCACGATACCGGCGGCGGCTTGGGTGCTTAGATTGGGGAGGAAGCCCAACAGCACTACCGGCAGCAGCAAAACCACCGCGCAGCACCACAAGAGGAAAACCCTGAGGCGGTGAAGACAGCGGAGCCATCGAGATGTTTTGCATGTTCTTCCTCTCTCGTGTCACTCTGCTCTATCAACTTCTGCTTAAAATTAGTCGCTGCTGGTTTTTTTGTTGTGATGGACAGGGGAAGGGGGGTGGGGGGGGGGGGGTTGATGGCCAAGCGTACCATGGCGGGGAAGTGCCGAAACTTGTAAAACAGCTTTTCAAAAGAGAGCCGCAGTTTATCTGGGCGGGTACTGACGAAGTCGTTTGCGTGGTATAGGAAGGCCATCTCCTCCCGGCTTATCACTCCACTGTTCTTGATCTTGCCGTATCTGAGTCGGTGTTCGATGTCGCCGACTTCGTAGAGCAAGCCGATCTCCTTGTCGTCGAGGATTAATCTCCCTGTGTTTGTAAGTGAATGGGCAGAGCATGGAACGACCTTGGTAACGCTTACGATAAGGCGCCAGAACGGAGAGAATCTCTTCCACCTTGCGGTCTCTCTCTTCGATGTAGCGGGCAGCTGCATTACTTGGCCCGTCAAGTCCTTGTTGCTCCTCGTCCTGGTTCTCGTTTGCGATGTGCAAGTCCAGTTCGAGTAGTTCGCTCTCCAATTTCGTCAACTTGTGCTCGACATGCAAGAAGCAGCGCTGCGAGAGGTTACCAAACTTTCGATGTATCGCTAAGTTGACTGAGTGGTCTTGCTCGGCAGCGATCTGCGCCCATCCTCTCGGATAACGGTTGACTAAATGGTATCAGCAGGCCCAACGAGGTGATGGGAGTGTTGGAAACGATATGTATATGGGTAACCTTCATGACGGTAGATAAGTTCTCTGAGGACAGCTTCCTGAGGGGTATGTGGGTCTGCATTTTGGTGTTAGGAGCACTGTTTTTCTTCCAACCGCAGCAGTCAGTCGGGTTTCGTACTGGAGACGGTGCTCGAGGCCTCCCTAAACGTCAACAAGTTGAGAATCCAGTTGCGTGCTATGGAAAGGCTGTTCCGATTTCGTCTCACTGAGGGCGTTGCCGATGGTTGCGCTTGGCTAGCAAGCCCGGCTTCGATGGTGGTCAAAGGCACGTCTGACATTGTTCTTGATACGTATAAAGTAAATGTAGGAGATGTGGAAGATGCCAGGGTTAATGGCGTAAGACGAGAAGGCCCTCATCTTGTAGATAATGAGGGCAGTGCAGTCGAATCCATAACGCTGACTGTCGGCGATTCAAGAGCCTCGTCGATGGAGATGGGCATGTTGGTTGTTGGACCCCAATAGGTGATGGTGAGGGTGTAGGGGGGAGACACGCCAACGGACAACCAAGTGTCGCGCGCCGCTGAACGGTGAGGTTCCAACCCTCCACTAGAACCACTCGCTCAAGATAGACAGCCGCGGGCCGCAATGGTGTGATGGCTTCTTTGCCTGACTGGCCGCCTTCTTCCAAGTGCAAACGGCCAAAGGCAAGTTCTTGGAGACTCCATGACAGTAGGAGATGAATTGTTAGATGACCTGTTCGAATGAAATGACCGTGTCTTTATGTATCCGATCTGGCCCAGGACGAAGTAATGTTGAAAGAAATGGAAACTACGAGCTATGGACTTGAGAAACAGCAAGTATTTCGGGGTTTCTACGGATAGCAGCCAGTCAGTACTGTTGGACAAGGACAGGGTCAGCTGCAAAACATCATGCAGTGTGGCCTACCCTCGCAGGACACCCCATAGCTTTAGTTCGAAGGTTACACGTCACATCTCCAGGAGAGGATCCATATTTTGACCGGTGTAAAATTAGCGCCTGCTTTACGTGCGAGTAAGAACATTGTTCCTCGCGGTGGAGGGGTTATCGTGGGCTCCCAGTCAAAGAAAGCTATCTTAGGAATATGTCTACTCCACGCCGATGAGATCATGTGTTGGCAAGATGCGAAACACCTTGGTCGGCTCAGCGCGTATATGCTTTCAGTACCAACTAAGTTTCGCTCGGACTACTAAATGGATACACGGGATACCCGTCCTCGCCTAGTCCTGACCCGAAAAGGGGTTGTATGGATACTAACCTGTGGATCTTCATACAAGCGAATGTGGGGTTCGAGATGATATATAGTAGTAGAGCCGTAGAACCGTAAAAGACAAAGCCGAGGACGTTTTTGCTCGGAGAAGTCTAAGGCAAGGTCCTCTGTCAGCAATACCGGTAATGTACGGGAACAAGCGGCCACTGTTGGTCTCCAAAATGCTCGAATGACGGCTGACGGTAGATGTATACCCAATATAGATGTTCGGTTGGGTGCGTAAATATTAGCCTAAGAGAATCAGGCGTTTCTCCGGGAAGAAACCGGGGGCAGGTGTGGAAGAAGAGCGAAAAGAGTGTGTCTGGTAGGAGCCCGGTTGCGCACCAATGACACCGTAGAATAGCCCTTCCACACGCAGTCCCAACAACACCCACCAGATCACAAGCATCAACAGCTAAGCTATGCAAGGCGCCATTCTGTAAAGCGGCCCAAGTGAGGCCGAGGAGGGAGACAGGAGGCTACCTCGTCTAAAAACGCCTGCATACTTATACTGTTCCTCCCATGTGCCGTTGCCCCGACGGACCACCGATTGTCAAGTCCGGAGCACCCGATACCAAAGGTGGTTTCGGCCTTTATTTCTAACGACCAACGTCCACAAGGCCGACTTCTAGCCTGTCCCGTCAAGGCCGATCCGGAATCATCAGGCTCAGGGCATGATTTTCGCCCAGTCCACTCGGACTCATTTCGTTCCCCCACACCGGCTCAGTACTACTGGCTGCATCGAAGCTTGAGTTTTTTTTGCGATTCCAACTGTTGTATTGGTGGTGGCTTGGCTAAAGCTGCAAAGCGAGTGCTTCACCACTGGCCATGATGGTATTCCCATCTCCGAATCCTCACTTGACGAGTGTCAGGCGAGCCTTTGGACATCCAAGAAGGCGATTTCAAATGAAGCTGGTTTTCTCTGTCGTCTGGTTTCATTTTCTCTTTGCTTTCGTTCTCCTCTTTTCGAGGTTTTTTTTTTTTTTTGTCTTTTCTTTTTATCACCCCCTTTTTTTTCCTTTTTCCTTTTTTATTTTTACTTTTTTTCTCGTCGCTTTTGAGGGGAGGAAGACTTGTCGAGCTCGATTATTCCGTCTCCGAGAACCGCCCATTATGAATAGGCCTAAGTCCAAATTTGCCGGGGTTCGGCCCAGCCACACTTTGGTATATGCGCCAATTGGGTACTTCAACTCTTGCTGCAGAATGGATTCTTCCAAACAGACAGATTCGGCTCCGTGTTGTCCTCCGAAGCCGCGATTCGCAGTCGTCAAGAGAAGTGACAGCAAGGACAAGGATAAGAAAAAGGACTTGGATTGGAAAAATAAAAAAAATAAGAAGAAGAGGAAGAAGGCGGGAAAACAAGAAAGCGATCCGTTGCCGTCCCAATAACACGACAGGGGTATAATCTGCTGGGTTTGCGGTGTGCTGGCACCATGGCACTTGATTAGGATCCCCGATCGGCCCAGACTTGGGGGAAACCATTTCTGGAAAGGCCTGAGGCAGGCAGCAACCAAGGTAAATTTCCAGAGCAGGAAACATAAAATTTCCTCACCTGCTGGCTGGTATCCAAGAGGACCCTACAGAATGGTCTTAGCATGGTCGTGTGTGCGAGCGGTTCGGCGAAGCACAGCAAGTCTTGATTCATTGGATCACTGACATGGGAAAGCCATACTTTATCTGGTTTTTCAATCCTAGTCCGCAGTTAAGCAAGCGAGCCGCCCCGTCTCCGTCCGCTTCGGCGCGTTCGAGCTTACGCTTCCCTCCACAACAGCCAGCGCCAGGGGAAACGGTCAACGCGAACACGGGAGACCTCCTCTCACGTGGATGCCGCCACAGATAGCGCGTATGGCCAAGTCCCCCGCCTCATACTGTCGCCCAGAATGCAACCAAGTGGCTCCGGAACACTGCACCATGACAGCCCGGAGGGGGAGTCAGTCTCAAGATGATAAAAGTGCACTTTTCTCGACTGCTCGACGCGTTAAGTATCCAAGCAGCAAGTTGACGCCCGGGTGGGGAGCTGCAACTGGACACTCTAGGACGCATTCCCCCTCCTAGGTCGACTAGGGCCCTTGCCAAAGGGTATGTTTTGACATGGCAGAGAGCCTCTTAACCATCCATACGCTGTTATGCAGAGCAGCCGTAGGATGTGACGAACTACAGCTCCGACAGCCTTACTTTTGTCATATTTCGCCTGTCCTAGCTTAGGGCTTGCACCCGCAAAATTATTACCTCTGATGAAAAGGGTTGAGTAGAAGGGTTTTATTACCCCTTCTCGTGCGGGTGTATGTATTCGTCTCCTATAAAGCCAAAGCACAGCTCTCTGAGCCTGCGTGGCTCTGCCGATCCAACATTACAAGTTGAGTTCCCCCCATCACTACATTCGAATTCAGGGGCTTGGTTGCAGGCAAAGATGCTGTCAAAGAAGCCGTCGAAGAAACCATCGAAGAAGAGGTTCGTTTTGTCCACGGAAAGGTAACGCCATCCCGTTTCCAAACTAACAACCATCGTGTCTCTTTAGAGGAAGCAAGACGAGGCCGTTTGTCATAGGGGAGGACCCGAAAGTCGACTATGTTGAGGACAATGCCGGAAAATCTGCAGCCAGTGGACATAGGGATCGACCTAGCCAAGCCAAAACGAAAAAAAATTGAGATCACTAGTTCATATACCCCTATACCTGGCAACTCTGGAAGAAGTTCGCCTTGAGAGTCACCAGTTATGCAAGGAGGATCCTCACGAAAAGGATTTACAGTAAAAAAAAGCCAAGCTGGAATCACCAGTCAAGCTCGGGCTACACACAACAATAGCATATCATGACGACCAAATATAGCACATGATCTCGACCCGCCATCAATTGTCCCAATACGATAGACGTGCCTAGCATTCTAAACATACTCTCTGCCTGAACAGTCGTGTCGTTGTTTGACCCTTCCTGTCCCACCCACGTCCACCCCAGACTCTGTTGCAAGACGTGGCCCGTGTTGATGACACATTAATCAGCGTCCTGTCTTTCGTAAGTTTATTGCATCCCGAAACCATCGTTCCGAACATCGAACTACGGACCTCCGATTAAACCTCCACCCCGTCGACAACGGCACCGGGGCTGATATTAAGCCGGTTACCGCGCGAGCGTGTATCTCGTCATACACGTTTGAGTTTCTGGATCCCGCCCTGTTTATCCATCTCGCATCGTAGCTCCCATCCAGGCAAACTGCTTAGAGGCACGTTGATCCGGCTGAGCCGGACGCTACGCCTCTCATCATCCCATCTCTGCAAAGCTAATATCACGCATACACAGACTGCAGCACAAATAGTCGCTCCCTGCGGCTGTGCTCCACACACGGACTGGCAGGTTCAAACGCAAAAGCTTGGGCCTAACTGACAAGCACCTCATAGCTATCTTAAAGCAGACTTAGTGTTTGCCGTCGACAAGACGGTTAACAGACAGCAATGAGAACTAACGAGCGCATATGCTACCGCCAATCGAAACCGTGAGCGTGAAAGTAGCGGCAGGGTATTAGGCCTTGGCCTCCATATCGTAATTCGACATGCGGAAAACTAAGAACCGCAGAGAACCCTGCGTCGGACACCTTCGAGAACATGTGCTGCACGTGCGTTACACGAATACTACCGCATCCGCGCGTCAAAGCTCAAATCGCGAATGGGCGAAGCTGTCGAAGCTCTTCCGTATTCGAACACGAGCGGCCAACCAGATATATCTTCAGACGAGCCTGGAACGGAATGGCGTCACAGCGAGAAATGCCTCGAGCTTCCTCGCGGGCATGGGAAAGAGAACCACCGCAGCTCATCCCTGCTCTCATGATTGAGCTGGGAGATAAGTAGGAGCTTAAATCCTGCTGTCTTCCCAGCTATCGTAGCTAGCAAACAAACAAGTATATCGATCCACATAATCTAACCCCCCTCACATCATGGCACCTGCAATCAAGAACGTTGCGCTCGCCGGAGTAAGTTCCCTCTTCTTGACACCTCAGACAGAGCGGTAGTTTTAACCACACCAGGCTGGCGGAAATCTGGGCCCGTCTCTCCTGAAGGCCCTCATGGACTCCAACAAGTTCAACATCACGATCCTGACCCGCAAAGCCGGCACCCACACGTTTCCCTCGGGCGTGACAGTCAAGGAGGTCGATTACGAGTCTCTCGACTCCCTGACCCAGGCCCTGCAGGGCCAAGACGCCCTTGTCAACTCCACAAGCAGCTTCGACCCCAAGGTCGCCACGCGCGTCGTCGACGCCGCCATCGCGGCCGGAGTGTACCGCTACATCCCGCCGGACTTCGGCATCGACCCCAAGAGAGCCCACGTCCCGGAGCTCCCCGTCTTCGGCATCAAGGGAATGACGAACAAGTACCTGCAGGCGAAGGGCGAGGAGTCCGGCGGAAAGTTCACGTGGACCATCATCACCAACGGGCCCTTCCTCGACTGGGGCATCAGATCGGCCTTCATGGGCGTCGACCCGAAGCAGAAGAAGATTACGTACTTCAACGACGGGGAGAACGTCGTGCCGTACACGAACCTCGCGGACGTCGGCCAGGCCGTCGTCGGCGTGCTGCAGCATCCCGACGAGACGGCAAACAGGCCCGTCTACGTCCACAACACGAACAAGTCGCAGAAGCAGCTCGCAGCGCTCGCCAAGGAGGCCATCGGCGGATCGTGGGAGGAGACCACGAGCGACTTCGACGCCATCTATGCCAACTGCATAGATTCCATCAAGAAGGGCATCATGACGCCAGAGGTCATGTACCCGCAGATCCTGTACGCCTGCTCCAAGAAGCAGTATGCTCAGCCGTGGGAGAAGAGCGACAATGCGCTGTTGGGGATCAAGGAGTGGAGCGATGATGAGCTGAAGGGGCTGTACAAGTCAATTGCCGCGGAGTAAGGGTTAGCCTATGCTTTGTAAGAAAAAGGGGGTGACGAAGGGATGGAAGAAAATTGATTAATTAACATCATGAACCATATCAAGATCTGACCAATGTGAATCCTGTGCACATGACTGATGAGTAACAATAGTCTGTCTCAAAGAGAGGACTGACAGAATGAACGTTTCCAATGGTTTGTCCAAAAACGACAGCATTAAAACACACACTGTGAGCGTGCTAAACCAAGGCGCCCCAATTCGTTACTTCACAGCACTCAACACTCGGTACCATAATCACATTTCCCAGGTTTACAAGTAAGCTTGTATCAGCAGTTGAATTCTATCTCCTTCATACAAAATACATGCGAGAGCTTTTCATCAAGAGGGCCATTCAAGATGCTCAAGCTCGAGTAGATGCGGTCATCCGGAGTGACTAGCGCCACCCCGTATCGGGTATGCCGTTCCAGACCGCCCAAAATGCATCCAAGCCAGCCAATACACCGCCGTACTGGCCCTGAATCTTTTGCTCGTCCTGAGCGTAATATACACAGGTCCTCAATGGTAGAAGACAGGAATCGAGATACACCGAACAAGAGTGTGACGGGCGGACCGAAAAAGTGAAGAGCTTGAGGCACATGAGAACTCTGGTTCGTCGGGTCCGTGCTGCCAGGGCGTGAAGTCGTATACTAAGACAGCAGTATGAAAAAATAGCTTTGCAAAGAGGAGTCTAGTTCGTTGGTGTCGTTTCCTGCCCTCGCCGGAGGACAAACAATTATTGGGTTCGATTAGGAGCGGAGCTTCGGTTTAGACTAGGCCAAAAGCCAAGCCATCCTTGTGTCGAGTTTAGAAGGGGATGTTGGGGGTGCCCTGGGCACCGAGAGCCTCCTGCTGCTCCTGGAGCTCCTCACCACCGGCCTCGATGGAGATGCCGACGCCGATCTTGGCTTGTTGCTAAACAGAATAATCAGTATAAATTCGACAGAGTGAATCGCCTAGCACATACCGCGAAGTGGTCAACATCAGCAGCCAGAGTCATCATGACGGGGGCAGCAATGCGCTTCTCCAACAAGCAGCTAAGCTTGCCCTTAGAGTCGACCTGCGCACGGAAAGTAGACATTCTGAAGTCGTACTTGGCACCAATGGTGGTGACACCCTCCTTCTGGAAACCGCCCATGACACCTCCGGCGCCGGGAACGAGAGAAAGGGACAGGTCAACACCGGCCTGGACCTTCTCGGAAAGACGTCTCCAGTAAGAGGTGTTCAGAGCACCCTGGGCCTGCAGCTGAGCGGTGGCAACCCAGTCGGCGGACTTGTAGCGAGCGCAGTAGGAGGTGGCAGTCTCAGGACCCTGGGTCATAGCCTGGCGCTGCCAGACAGTCTCGAGACCAAGAGCGAGCTTAGGAGTAACGGACTGGAGGTAGCTTCCGATGAAGATACCGGTAGCACCGCCATCGAGGAAGGAGGGGTTCAGCATCTTGAGGGAAGCAGTGAAGTCATCACCAGTGTATTCGTTCTCGAACTGGAGCATCTCCTGGCCAGCGCCAGGGGCAGCCTGGAATTGCGTCCTCGACACCAACTTATCGGACCATCGGTAGTTGAATCGGGTAGAGAGCTGTCCGTCGTTGTCCATGTTTCCTTGAAGGAAAACCTAATGATGAATGTCAGTCAGTGATGCTCGCGCGTCCATTGGTGCAAGGGGTCGACGAACCTTGCTCGTTCCGTACAGCGCAGCGAAGGTGTACGGGTTCAGACGGTCACCCATGGCGAACTGGTGAGAGACTTGGAACAGCGGCGACATGCTGAAGGCCTTGGTCAGGTCGGCGCGAAGGCCAGTGAACATGTAGTTGGTGAGCAGGACATCGCGTTGGACCTCCTTGGTCAGGTTCTCAGTGGTGCCAGGGTTGGACAGGCCAAGCTTTGCTCTCCGTTCCGAGAAAGAGTTGATGGCATCTGAAAGAGTGTTGGCGACGGGGTTGTTCAGGAGAACATTTTGAATCTGCTCCAAGCTTGACGCCATTGTTGCGATAGTCGGCGCCGGCCTGCGTCCAACGTAACCGAGGAATTAAGAAGACAGGAAAAACCTGAAAAGGGAGAACAACTAGACCAGAGGGTCTGTACACGGGAAGAAATAATACAGCTGCGACTGCCCTAGGGACCGATTGGAGCTCGCGCAATGGGCAGGCAGGGTCGTTTTGGGGGGGAGGTCGTCGAGTCGGAATCGGGAGTGATGGATTGGCAGGTCTGGAGAATAAATTTCTTCCACGCTGATTACATTACGCAGCTGGAGGTCTGGTTGAGCACGAGCCACGGTGCCACGCTGTATTCAACGGGCTAGGTGCGCGCCACGACTGGTTAAGCCCGGTGGAGACAGCAAGAGAGCTTCCTTGGAAAAATGACAGCAGCATCACGTGATACTCAACTGCGTCAGGTGCAGAAGGGCAATGTCGGTCCGAAATTCAACCAGACCCAAAAATCGAGACAGGTGGAGGAGACCCTTGCCTGCATTCGGTACGTTCCTTGGGGCCTCTTGCTCACACTCTTCCGCCCAACAGTAGTCTTTTTTTTTTTTTTTTTTTTGCCAGTATCAGTCTCGGGTAGAAGTGCAACTTGGAGTTACCTAACCTACTTCACCTACCTACGTAATCCCATACTTTAACTACATCCTAAGGTGTTCGCGAATTACCCTGACCGCCCATTGTTTTCCTGTGACTCAAGAGACCAATTACCGTCGCTGCTTCCATCTGCAAACCATAGCTGGGTTCCGCCTGCACAGACCACAGAATTTCGGCGAAGGAGGGTACTCGGCCGTTAAAGGGCTGGCGGCTTAAATCGGAACGGGGGGGGTAGCTCAGACATCAGCGTAACTTCGTCCGCGACCACTATCACAACCCTCGAACATCTACTTCTGCGCGATTTTCCCTGAGGAGTCGGTCCCTGATCGCACTTCAATCGAACTTCGCTCCGGATCTAGTTGGATTCCTGAGTGCTAGATATTGCCGCACTGATTCAGACGTTGACTCGGCACTGCGTCATAGTATCGTCCCCGCTATTTCCCTCCGAAGCGGCCCCTCCATCCGGCGTAGAGGCCGTAGATGCCTCGAAATCAATCCGCTCCCGTCTCACATCCTTCGGCATAAATTCTGACTCGCTTGCCGGTTATTCAAATTGCCAAGTGCATTCCACGGAAGCTCTACCCACAAACATGGATACATTACTGTAAGCTCATCCTTTCCTTCTGTTGCCCCCTTGCAAGAATCCTCTCGTCGCACATCAGGAACCTTGTGCTCTCCTTTGTTCTACCCCCACCTGAGCAAGTGCGTTCCCTACTCTGTTCTGTCTATCCATCACCTACTCCATGTTCATAATACCGAAGCTTGGCCTAGCAATGGAAGGTCGACAAGTTGGACCTTGAGTCTAGCAGTGGCCTCTCCAGGGTCTCACAACCCGAAAACACCCGATTGAACAAACAGTTAGCCGGCAAATGCACGCCGATGATGTATAATACACCAATCAGTCAACCCGCTTTCATGTTGATCAAGGCTCTTCTTAAGTGCTCAGCTGGAGACTTCACTTGACTGCCACTTCATCAAATGAAGTAGGATTTGTGTGAACAACACCACAAAGATGTCTTGGTGACAGGTGGATGAGTCGCAAAAGTTGCCTTCTGAGCAAGCTCACAGAGGATATTACCCTTTGTCATGGTTGTCACTCCTGCACAACAAATGCATGACTGGATGCCAAATTGACTGTGTTACTGTGTATTGTCACAGAGCTCTGACAACGGCCAACTAGTTGAAGGCCAAGGTCAACAGTCAACTATAGGTCTGCCAAGTCCCAAAATACATCTTGTTATCGTCGGTCGAGGGGTACAGCAAGTTGTTGAAGTGACGACTAAGCAAGCAGGGCAAGTCGAACGAGGCGAGAGCTTCACATTGTTTATCACCAGGCTCTTTCCCTTGCCCCTCAAACACTCTTTTTTAAGCACTCATTGTCCCCTTTCAAAGTTCTTCCGCCCTTTTACTTCTTCATTCTCGTCTTATTTCCACCTGTTCATTTATCATGGAAGAGACATCCAACATCATGGTGGAGATTTCCAGAGCCCTAGATGCCCTTGAGGCAGACAATAGCGCTGCACAGCCTCGGCCAGAGTTGGCAGAAGAACATGTTATTGACATTATTTCTCCTGGCAGTACGGCTGAAATAGCGGCCAACGCGCCGAGGTATCGCCGCAAGAGCTCGACATTCATCGACGGCATCCACGATGTCCCCGAGGATCAAGATATGGCCCCGGCCCAGCTCTACAGCACCATGTCCGGTCGACTGTTCCACTCGGGCCGTATCGCCATCGTCATGGTCGGTCTTCCAGCCCGCGGCAAGACGTAAGTGGACATATCTCACATGCAATGATGGTCAGCTGATGAATCTAGCCACATTTGTGTGTCCATGGCCCGTTATCTAGGCTGGTGAGTCGGTTTTCCAAAGATAACCAGGGTTGTCATTGCTAAAAACTGGCAGGTTGGGAGTCAAGACGCGTATCTTCCACTTGGGCGACTATCGCCGTGCGACTGTTGGCAAGGGCGGTATAGTCCCCGAGGATTACTTCTTCCCCGACGCGTCCCCTCAATCAGTCATCTTGAGGCAGAAGATTCTGAAGAAATGCCGCGAGGACATCTATGCTTGGTTGAACCACGAGAACGGACAAGTCGCCATTTATGACGCTGTCAATCCTACGGCTGCAGGTCGCCGTGCGCTGGCGAAGGAGCTTGCGAAGCATGACGTCCAGGTGAGCAGCAAACGTCCTCTCATCTTGGTTATAGCTGCTAACATCTGGCAGACACTCTTCATTGAGTCATTTGTCGACGACGAGGCAATTCTACGGGAGAATGCGCGCAATGTCAAGATCTCCTCGCCTGACGTATGTATCGGTTTCCCAATTCTTACCGTACTTCCTATTAACAAAAACAGTTCGCTGGTATGGACCCCGACGAAGCCGCTAAGCTCTACCTTCGCCGCATCGACATGAAAATCCCCGTTTTCGAGACGATGGACGAGAAAGAACTCAACTTCATCAAGATGATCAATGCCGGACAGAAGTTCTTCTACAACAATGTCTCTTTTGGCTACCTCTCCCACCGCATTGTCTTCTACCTCACCAACCTGCACATCAAGTCCCGCACTACGTACTTCGTCCGCGCCGGCGTCACTACTGAAGAGGACTCGTACAAGGCCGATGCTCCCCTATCTGAGCAGGGCATCGCCTACGCCGCCCGTATGTCTGAGACCCTCCTCAAGCACCGTGAGCAGGAGCGCGCCGCCCTCGTCGAGAAGGGTGGCCCCAACGTGCCTCTGAGGCCCCTATCCGTCTGGACGTCCACGCGTTGCCGCACCGTGCAGACAGCAGACTACCTTAAGAACAAGGGCTTCAAGGTTCGCCAGCGCTCGCAGATGAGCCAGATCAACCCTGGTGTCTGCGAGAAGATGTCGGAGCGGGCTATCCGCCACATCTACCCCGAAGAAGTCGAGAAGCACGAGCTCGACCCGTACCACCACAGATACCCCCGCGCAGAGGTACGCCCAAACACCCTCAACATTGTTGAACATTAAATCTCATTACTAACGAATTCCGCAGTCCTACCACGACCTTGCCGTCCGCCTCGAGCCAATCATCCTGGAACTCGAGCGTGAGCAAAGCGACCTCCTCATCATTGCCCACGAGTCCGTCCTCCGCGTCCTCTACGCTTACCTCATGCACTGCGCCACCATGGACATCCCGACTCTCAAGTTCCCCCGCGACGAAATCATCGAGATCATCCCCGCAGCGTACCAGAACGAGGCGAAGCGCATCCACATCCCCGGCATCGACCCCAAAATCACACCCGGCTCCCCTGAGGATATTCGGATCCCCGTCCCCGGAAGCGCTCCCGCCAGTGGCAACATGTCGCCCATCGCGGGCTTGTCGTCCCCTGCCGAGCCCGTCGAGCGTCCCCCCGAGAAGGTGATTAACAAGGCGGCGGAGATGGTTGCCGATCGCCAGAACGACGAAGATTAGATCCGAGACGGTTGGTTCAGCGGTAGATGCTACAGAGGGTTTAGAATGGAACAACATTTGCTTGCGCGAGAGGGTGTGTCTTGCGTCACTGGAAGTGAGCCGGCTGGGAAGAAACGTCGGTGAGGAAGACATTTTTCTTGCTACTGCCATGAGTGGACTTCCCTCATGGCTTTGCTATCAGTCCCCATCAGGGGGAAATTGAAATTCAATGAAGAACGGATTCGGTCTAAGGCATTGGTCTGAACGCACAGCACAACACGACTAAGGGGAAGGGAATAGGTCAGGTAGATAGGCTTCATGAATGACGACCTCAAGTCATCGTAGTATTACTATCCCAAGGTTCCCTCATCGTGATGGGGGACTCTAAAAACTCCTCGTTTTCCTCCGTGGTATCCCGGTTTTTGCCAAACACAATAAAACGCCCTCCTCATGCTAACGTCTCACAGACGCGACGGCTATTCGTTTTTGTTGTCGTTTTCGTGTGCCATATCTCTTCCAGTTCTAGCCTATTAAAACTCCTCGCTATTCCAGGGCTTAGAAAAGCTATGCATCGGTTCAACTCAAAAAAAGGAAATTACTTCTCCAACCGAAAAGAAGTAGGGCTTCGGCCCCGGCGTTCACTTTGCCACATTGATGTTTTTACATGACAACACATTCCCGCTCGGGTTCGCCGTCCTTGTTCTTCTTCTCCTTGGACTTGTTCCGTTTGTGGGTATGATGATGTCTGTGGTGGTGCTCCCCTGATTTTCTCTCCTTCAACTCCTTAGAATCTTTTCTCTCGGTATCGGCGTGTGGGGTTTCTTCAGCGGCGGCATCTTCGACGAACTGCTCCTCAGTAACAGGATCGGGCAGAGGAGCGCTAACAGATGTTGCTAGTGCATTGCCGTTCGTCGGTTCTCGCAACGGTTCCTTGCTTGGCCGCATTAGTCCTCCGAGTCGGGTCATGGTGAGGCTAATCCGCCCCTCTCCTGCCTGACTTGTGGGTCTGCTCTTGCTCTTTGCGGTAAAACGGGCCGCGGCTCGAGATAGCCGCTGCGCTGTTGTTTCTTCGTTCGGTGTGAGGGCGGGAGACACAGCCTCCGGGGTGATCGCCGGTGTGCCCAATGTAGAGTCTGTGAAGGTGACGCTGCCGCGACGAGAATCCTTGAACCCTAAGCCATAAGGCTCATCATCAAAGCTCAGGCGGCTAGGCCTCTCGAGTTCAGACGAGAATCGGATGCTTGGTGCTTTCGGTGGTGATATCGAAGTGTTTTCAAAGTAGTCGCTCTTTGATGACGGAATGCCCGAGTGAGTCCCCTCTTGTGGGTTGGGCGAAGCTGGCAGGTTGATGCTGACCTTCGACTCATTGTAAGACGGTGGTTCCGTTTCGGTTTCTTCCGTTGAAGCGACTTCTACCATGGGTACGATCTGGTAGAAAAGCAGATAAGGCATCTCGTCCTTCAGTGCTTGCTTGATATCGTCCACATAGGTTACCCTGCTTTCAATGTTCAAATCATCGAATTTAACCCATTGCGCCTCTTCGTAATCGGGAGGAGGATCGAGATCGTGCCGCCTATTGTCCGTGAGGAGCTTGGGCGCAACCCGCGCAAACGATACATAATGTCCGCTGTAAAGCGAGTCTCCCCGGTGGCAAATCACCGACTGGAGAACTAGCTTGTATTCCATGCTGAAGCCATTGGGATCCTCTTCGAGTTGAGTTTCACCTGCAAGCATGAAGTGTGGCAGCCTCAAGCTATCGGGGATGTCGATAAACGTATTGTGACGCTGTGGAACACCAGAGTTTGTCATCATGTACCGCTTCAAGCAGATTCCGACAACAGGTCTCTGGTTGAAGTTCATGGCCACCTCCATGTCGTTTTTGGGCTCCTTGTTTCCGGCCGCATGCCATGGAATCAACTTGAAGAATTGCCAAGCAGGAATGGTCACGGCCTTGACCACTGTCGAGCTTGTTCGTTTGGCCTTTTCTAACATAGTTGGCGTGTCAGATTCCGTCGAGTTTTGTTTCTCTTCAAGTACGACACGCTGAATGACACTGGTGGAACGATGCCGAGGAGCAGGGCGCGAAGAGCCGCCGGGAGATTCAGGGGCGCCGTTGGGCGCTTGCGATGCTGTCCATCGTCGTTCTAGAGCCGGTGACAGTTGAAGAGGGGATGAGCTCAGCACATCTGCGGCTTCGAAGTCGGTGCTATGCTCGGGTGTCACAAGACGAATTGTGTTCTTGTTGGGAGTGGTTTGCGCAAGCTCTTTCTTCTCCTCATGTCTGTCCCTGAGTACGTCAACTTGAGTGTTGAAGTACTCCTCTAAGCAATCCTCTAGCCGAATGCCCTTGCCATCAGGATCAGGAGGCACCGCCAAATTTAATAATCGTTCATAGACGAGTTTGTGGTCGTCCTTATCATTCTTTCCTTGGTGGAATAGGTCGACTTGTAGTTGCAAAAGGGGGAGCTGTAGTGTCTCGGTAATGAATGCGAAGGCCTCGGAAGTATCCTGCTGCTCCAGCAGCTTGGCGTCGCTCCAGCCACAGTCGGCGAGAGCATCTTGTATAAGTTTGGTCTGCTTCAGTTAGCAAGGGGATATACGAAAACACTCTGGTGAATGCTCACCATGTCCGTGTGGATCATTTTTCCACTCCTTAGCATGTTTACCCATAGACGTAGCAGTGTGACCAGTCTCCTTTTGGGCTCGTCCGAGAAATCGTTCTTGAGCATGCATTCGAATGCGTCCAGCTTGGCAAACATGGCAAAGAGTAGCGAGTCGAGGTAACATGTAACGTTGCCCCTATTCTCGGCGCCGACCATTTCGACCTGGGGGTTATAATGTGTAATCTTGCCAGCCATTGCTTTGCATTGCATCTGGATAAACTCGACAGTCTTTTGGACATCGCCCTCGGCAAATTTGCTGTTCAAAGAGTCGCGAATGTGTTCGGCGGAAACGTCTGTAATGTTGGATTCGGCGAGGAGTTGCATTATATCCTCAATCTGTTGCACAGTTAGAGAAGGGAGTCAAGTGTGGTGTTGCGAGTCAACATACCTTTGCCATCTCCTTCTCCTTCAGCTCCTCATCATTTTGTGTTTGCCGTGCGGCGTCGCCCTTGAAGAGCGATCTAAAGGCTTCGGCTGAAAGTGGTCGGCTCTGGTTCGAGGGGGTAAGTCATTAGCTTCTACTCAGCCCAAAAAAAGAACGACATGTGAAGATACGGCTCGTAACTGCAGGGGGTCGCAAACTCACCTTTTGTCCTGGCTCTGAGGACTTGCTCCTGCGATGGTTGCCATTCCTGTCTCGCAGGCTGAGAAACTTCTTGCCCTTCATGGTCGCAACTTGGGTTCGTATTGCAAAGCAAATCGGTAGTTATTGGAGCCAAAAAAAAAGGCTACTCGACAAAAAGCAATCGCCTCAGCAGTCAGGAACCATGATCAGGTCGAAATCGCACCCCCATCAGCAAGCGATATGGGAGTGGAGAGCAACGTTGAGGGTAAAGAATGTATGCAAGGTATGGAGGGGCTCTGGCGCGTCTCGGCGGGGCAGATTTTCGCAGTCGCAAGAGACGGGGCTGGGGTGACAATCAGGCCCGAACTTTTTCGATGTACCAGCGACACGAGGTGTTGATGTTGCTGTTAGTGACGAGAGGGAAATTCAATATGAGAACACGCATACAAACGCAAGTCGGTGTAGAGAAAAGTTCTGAAATATTGTTGCTGCGTGAGAATCTGCAGATTGGGAAGGAAGAAGTCATGGGAAGATAAAAGAAATCCCGTCGTGGTGTTTGGTCGACACGGGGGGGGACAGCTGAAGCAATTAAGGTAGCGCGCCCTTTCATCAAGCGCTGTGGGTGTGTCAATCAGACAGCAGGCGAACCGGGGTCAGATGGCGGTTCCTGTTCGTGGATTTTGGCTCAATAATTCGGGGTCCAGAGTGAGCAGCTTTGGCAGTGTGGAGACGCCCTAACTCGATAGGTACCGATGCGGCAAAGTTTAGGTTACGCGGTACTTTTCGGCCGCTAAAGCTGTCCTGCTGGGCACCTGGTGCCCTCTGCGGACTCGCCCGTCAGTTGACTTACGAGCCTGGGGATGCCTTGTCGGTGGACACTGAAATCGAGGGTGGCGGCGAGGCGGACTTTGGACTGCTGAACACGACTTTCCTTGTCCGTTTACGAATGACCGCAGGTCCGACCAGCTTACCAACTCCAACACGTGTAACCGTTCTAGGTAACTAGTTTTATCTCGACTTGGCATACACTGTAGGTGGATGCAATAGGCAGTAAAGAAACCAGAATGTTCTCCGGTTCCTCCAGCTGCCGCGTCTCTCACATATGACTTTATTTCTGACCCGCTGATGACCCCCCTTTCAAGCGGTTAAAGAAGAGTTGCCTGCCCACATCCAATATATACGCGAGGCGACATACGTAAGGGCGTGTCCATCGTGGGAGCAACATCCGAAAGAGACTACGCCTCTTGGTTTCTAACATGAAAGTGGCAAGATAACCATCGCATCAAGCGCAGGTCATTTGATCCCCTGTCCCAACTCTGGACAGTGATTGGGGAACTCTTTGTCTGTAGGGGGGAAAAAGCACCCCATCGGCTGGACCAGAATCTCCTCAAGTCTCGGTTCCTGTTTCGTGACGGCTTGTTAGCTGCAATGATACCCTCTGGGACACATCTTGGCGAATTTCTTTATTTGCGTAGACCCGACCAAATGGCTTGCTCGTGGCCCATGCTTCGAGTTTCAACAACCCCCGTCAATGTTTTGCTCTCTTGAACAGACGCCAGCCCCAAGTACAGACGAAAGAGCCAAAATAGAACAAAAACATCTGTTCCATGCTAACAACCCCCTCCATAGGCATATTGCACCTCAGCACATGCCCGCGATTGAAACAATAATGCTCACATACTTGTCTTTCTACTAGTTGACCACGGGCTGAAGCTCTGTGGCGTAGCCTGTCACCCACAAGCTCCCCGTGGGCGGCTGGTTGGACGTTAATGTGACACTAGCCTCAAATCCAACAAGATGCGCTCCACGTAAACCGCATACGTTCGCATTCGTGTTCATCTTCGGTACAATCGGGCAGGCTGCAGAATGGCAGGCTATCATCGACATGCACAATGCGTATCTTTCCAATTTGCCCATCCCATCTTTCCTCAGTCCGAGTGCTACCCCGCCCTGAGCTCAACATCCGAGCGGAAGACAAGCTCCAGCACACGCATACGTGCTTCCTGATCCATGGGACTGGTGACTGAAATTCAGCTGGGGCCGAATGATCGGTGCTACGTAATTGAGGGGCGTGCGCGAGAACGTTTTTTGCAGAAAGGATCTTCGGCGCCTAACTAGAGTCCGACTCTCGGTAGAAGGACGAAGGACAGACGAGGGCCTGGCTGGAAGATGACGCACAGTACACCACCTTCCACGAGGTCGAAAGGCCCGAAAGTCCGCCGCGCCCGGCAAACCCACTTAGGCCGGGTGCTAATGGTTGCTTCGCTCCCGTCCGGTGATGTAACGAAGTATCCGGTCCCTTCAACGTTGGATGCCCGATACGTAAGGCCACTTTATTTTTGAGATGGACAAGCCACACACTAGCCCACCTGTCCATCCACATTAGATTTCAGCCACATGTGGCACGGACCTGCCTTGAACATTTCGAGATTGAAATTTCCAGCATCGCGACTTACCCTTACAGACGTGGTGAGGTGCGCGACAGTTTAAGACGACATACCATGACTACACTACGGGAAAGCTCCCGATTAGCTCGGGCTATCTGCAGGCAGCGCTCGTCATGGCAATTGACTCCTCTTGTCGCCCAGCGATGCGCCTCAACCGACGCTGGCAAGGCCACTCCTGATCTGGCCGACCTAGAGCCCAGCTCGTTCAAGGTTCCAGGACCGGACGATGCCACTGTGAAGGCTTTCAACACAGCGAAGCGTGTCTCGGATAGACCACAGCAGCTTCCAGGAAACAGGTTTGTCTCTCTAACTCGCTCTCTCTTCATGCCAACAATCCGAAGCAAATCAGACAACTGACATATCATGCAACAGATACCAATACCACCCCCCCAAGTTCGACCGCGGCCCGCTGCACCCCATTCAATCACCAGCCTCCACCGATCCCACGGCGCGAGACTTCGTTCCCGGTCCTTTCAACCTGCCCCGACTGCGCCAGACCTACGAGTCAACAGTCGCGGCCGATCTATTGACCATGACCTACCTTCACAAGCCCCCCGGAACCCCAGACCGTCCCGTGCGTGAGCGTTTACGTGAGTGGGACGATTCTTCGCCGTACAACATCAACCGTCCTCGTCGCGGACCCAGAGGTGGAAGCAAGCTCGACCTGTTGGAGAAGAACATCGACTGGCGCAACATCCCCCAGATCAAGGCGGTCTCTCTGCACGCCTTCATGCCCATAAACAGCAAGACACCCGGAACCCTCAACGTTGCGCGGTCCGTCCTACAGTCCATCAGCGGCAACAGCACCGAGATCACCAAGATCAAGACGAACGTTGTGCAGTGGAAGATTCGCGAGGGCGACAAGGCCGGTGTCAAGACCACCATCTACGGTAACCAGGCCCACGAGTTCCTTGACAAGCTCATCACCCTCGTCCTGCCTAAGATCAAGGACTGGCCCGGTGTTGACGCGAGCACGGGTGATGGCAACGGTAACCTGGCCATCGGCTTGAAGCCTGATGACCTGGCTTGGTTCCCCGAGCTCCAGATCAACTACGACATGTACCCAGCCAGGGTAAGTCATATAACAACTGCCTACGATACGAAACGATGCTGACAAAATTCTTTCTAGCTCCTCCCAGGTTGCCATATTTACATCCAGACAACCGCCACGTCGAACCGTCAAGCTAGACTATTGCTCCAAGCTCTTGGACTCCCCTTCTACGGAAAGTTCAGGGATTAAACAGGGTCATTACCAGAAAGCAGGTGTCCAGAATTGTACAATACCAAACTTATTAGAAAGCTTGTAAAAAATGAAATGTACCAACAGAAAGGTCACTCTCAAAAAAGCCATCGGCTGTTCAAATATCTCGAAAGAAATTCCCGTGATATATTTATGCAATAGAAATCATCTAGTCCCGAAGTCCCAATTTTTATGGAAAGGGGGGAAAATGTTCGTCCCCGTACGTTAAAAAAACGTCCTCATACCGTACCAGCCCCCGTCCAAACGCCGTCCATGCAAAGTCCCCATACCGTGTTCATCTAATGCAATTTCCCTCCGTTGAAACTCATTTCGTGATATTCGCCTTGAGGTCATCCATGACCTTGTCGATGTCATCCATGTTCACGGCATCAATCTTGCCAGACTGAACACCCTTCTTGGCCAGCTCGTCCGTGAACTTGTCCATGGCGGGCTGGTAATTACGGACGGCGGAGCTGAGGGCGTAGACGGCCTTCCTCCGCACGGCCTCCTTCTCGTCGTCCTTTGTGGCAAGGTTCACGAGGGCGGGGATGCCGGCGTCGCCCATGGCGAGCAGGCGCTCTTGGCTGGGCTCGTTGTTCTGGACGGCGGTGCCGACGCACCAGGCAGCCATACGACGGATGTCGTGCTCGTCGTGAGCGAGGCAGCTCAGGAGCGGGGTCCAGAGAGAGAGGTTGGTCATGTTGTTGGCGTTGTCGAGACCCTCGATAAGCTGCTCAAAGTTGTCAAACGCAACGAGCTTGGTGTCGAGCGTCACCTCCGGGTCCGTCGAGGTGATGACCTCCATCGCGGCCTTCATGAGCTCGGCGTCGCTGGGACCGCCGCCGAAGAGGGCAGCAATGGCCTCAGGGCTGAGGTTGCTGCCGGCAGCAGCCGGGGCCGGGGCCGGGGCTGCCTCGCCGTTCTGACCTTCGGTCTGTTGGTTTTCAATACTCCATTTGAGGAGCTCGTTGAGGTTCTTGTCCATGTTAACGGTTGAAGTGGACTGTTTGTGATCAATGTGTAAGTTGGTGATTGATTAATGTCAAAATCAGTTGACAGACGTTGACGGACTATCAATATGATATAATGTTTTCAGCGGGTATAGGAGTGATGTATGCTGAATGTTATCGATTTTTCAGGAGCCTTCAGTCATTCACTTTCACTTGAATCTCATCAACATCTCAAAAAGTTCTCCATAGCCAGGTGCCCCAGTTACGACTCTGACTGGCTACAGTGATTTGTTGCCCTTTTCTGGAACCTTCAGGAAGCTTTTTAGTCCGGAAAGAGCTTAGCGTATTTCTCACGTGAGAGCCCTGATCAGGGCCAGCTCAGTGCACGTTTATGACGAGTGGTTGAAACTTGGGCAGAGGAAGATGCCGCCCAAGGCTGCGTTCCATTGCCAGCGATTCCTGCCCAAGATCGGATCATCTAGGCATGCTGAGTTGTCAATTTCCATCTTCCACTCATAATTGATGCTCTGGCATCCTCATTCGTCCGCAGTTGAGGGATGAGTGATGAATTACTGAGTCTCTCCGGTGGTTGGTGAAGAACCAAAAAAAGTTCCAACTGCCCCACCATAGAATGAGGTGCCCCTCATTGCCGCTTTAAGAGAGAAGGGAGCTCCCCTGAGCTAACGGACTACTATGTACGGCGTGCTGACCAGCTGAACAGCGTGTGAACGATGAAGTCACTCGGGGCTTATTGTGAGCACCAACTCTGTTTGGTTACGTTGCATCCAATTGCGCGCCCGAGATCAGGTTCATCTTCCTCAGCCTTGCGCCTTGGCCGAGATGGTTTCCCTGGTTGTCTTTCGCTTCCATGTGCCCTGTTCAAGATACTGTAGTAAAAAGGCATAGCGCCTCCGTACGCAGTCCGTAAAATGACAGATTTACTAGTTATTACTGTACCCGATCCGTACTACGAGCCCGATCAACGGAGACACCGCCCGGCAACCCGAGCTCAGCCACACTGGAAACGTAGTGTGTTCCCTCGCACCGTCTCTTGTCGGGAATCTCACACGATGCTCGAAACGTAGAGATGGATACTCTCTTTACACATGTGTGAAGAGGATGGAAGCAGTTAAGCAGCGGAAAGCATGCGACACGAAACGCGAGGCTGGTAGATTGCATGCCAGGCCAGTTGGCTGGCAGCCTGGCTGGCTGGCCACCACGAACCCCAGGCATCGTTCCCGCAAAAATCTCCCATACGCGGGTATTCAATTTGGACCGTGAGAGCCGCGCGACCCATCTTTGCGAGTACAGCCCTTGCAGAAAACAGACTTGTCGGGGTCGGTTTCGGCTTTTAGAGTATGTAGGTACCTAGATTTGCAAGATGTGCCTTTACCGTGTTTGCATGACCCCATAGCGTGGCTTTGCATCCGAAAGACGCTCTTGGGGGCCCGAAATAGAAGTTGCCTGCCAGGCACTCTCATCCAAATCTTTGCTGCTGACGGGAGGGATGACGTACGACTCGGAGCTGGAGGCAGCGGAAAAGAGGCCTTTCATTCGTGTGTGGTCTGCTGGCGCAAACCCGCCCGCCGCCGCCGGCGATTGTGACCTACACTAGGCGGCTGTGACGGGAATCTTGTTGAGTCTCACGTGGGCTTCGGGGAGCAACCCCCGTTCCACAGTCAATTAACAGATGGGATGGATAGGCGATACTGTGCCACTACCTATGCTCCCTGGCGAGATGGTCTTGGCCAAGCTGTTCCCATGCTCCCATGCTCTGGCCTGGGTCAACCTTGCATTTTTATCAGGCGGTAGCGTGCGCGCAGGCGGTTGATGTGGGGATCCCCTTGAAGATACTGGACACGGCACAGTAAACAGATGCCAATAATACTGTGAATTGGGTCGCAGATTGGCTCGATTGGTCCGTAGCCGGTGGTCGTGGATGTGAGAATCTCTCACCGTCGGTTTCAAGCTGCCTGAACAGCCAGCACAGACGCTGACGGTGAGGGTGACGAATGCTCCTTGCCGCCGACTGACATAAATGCGCTGCCTGATGATTAAACTGATAGATAAGACGAGAAGGGGCTGTGATGACTGGCGTGTTGCGAAAATGAAGACATTAAACGAATAGGATAAAAAAGACATAACCCCAAAGAGAAAAAGGAGAAGCGCGCGGCACAGCACATTTGCACTTCTAAGCTTGAGATTGAAACATTGCACCCATCGCGCCTTTGCTACTCTACCTTTCCTCCCCCCAGCCGTCAACTGGCCCAGTCCGGACGGAGAAAAAGAACACGATAGTCTGATTGATACCTCGGACATTGCGGTTGGCCTCATTCATTTCAGAGGTACCTTCTTCAATTTTATTCCACCGTAAGTCTGACTCCGTTCTGGGTGAGGTGCTCCTTCCGCGGCGTGCCTTGCCTCCCGTACCCCACCACACTACTTGCCCAGTTCAAGCACTGAGCAGAAGCATTGAGCACCCAGCAGAAAGCACGGGCCCCGGGCTAACCCTTAAAGCGGCATCACAACCCCCCGGGGGGGATTGCCACTTTCTGCCACCTGTACAGTGCACCTGCTCTACGCAATTGCCTACCCACCTTTGCCCGCCCAGCAGCCCATTTGCTCACCCACAAGTTGGGTTAGGTCTCCTTCTGACATCCACGCCAGCACAGCAAAGCCAGCCAACGAGGCCACAGAAACCACCGCACCTCGCGCCGCCCAAGGCACTCACCCTCACCGCACACTCTCACACTGTGCTTGCCATTCCCACTCTTCTCCTTCATCCCCCCTCCTCCACCCAAAATCGACTACCTCTCATCTTCCCGTAACCTTTCCCACTTTCGACCTCACCACCCATCGACGTGCTCTCCCAAGTTCTCTGTCATCCGCTCAGGACTTTGCCAGTTCCATCTCGCTCGCACGATTCCGGAATCGAGTGAGCTTTTCTTGCATCCATCTCTATCTACCTGTCCTCTATTTCCCCCGTCTTCACCACCACATAATTCACAATGGAAGGTATGTGACGCCATCTCGTCTACCAATTCAGCTCCTCCCGAGACAGTCGAAACCTTTCTTCGCTGGCCCTCGTCGCGATGCTCGCCATCCCTCGTCTCGCGTCTGCTTCTGGCTCCGATGGCTGACATCTGCTCGTACTACAGAGGAGGTTGCTGCCCTCGTTATCGACAATGGGTAAGCTTCCCCGCCGTCTCACCGACCATTCCGCCCCTCGGGCTTCGTTTGGATCTGGCCAACCGTCAGCCTTCCCGCTGGCCCATTGGCATACCATCCATCGATAATACCCCCATCACGATGAATATGGCTCTAACTAGATTTTAGTTCGGGTATGTGCAAGGCCGGTTTCGCCGGTGACGATGCGCCCAGAGCTGTCTTCCGTAAGTTCTACCACCCACACACAGACCGCAATCTTGCCCGTCAGGGGCTATCGAGATTTCCGGTTATCCATCCCCAGGACTGATCAATGCTAACTATCTCGCAGCCTCCATTGTCGGTCGCCCTCGCCACCATGGGTATGTTTACTCCTCGTTTTCGCTGCGGCAATTTCCCCCCTTATCCGCGCCGCGAGCTAACATGTGAAAAAGTATCATGATTGGTATGGGCCAGAAGGACTCGTACGTCGGTGATGAGGCACAGTCGAAGCGTGGTATCCTGACGCTCCGCTACCCCATCGAGCACGGTGTCGTTACCAACTGGGACGACATGGAGAAGATTTGGCACCACACCTTCTACAACGAGCTCCGTGTCGCCCCCGAGGAGCACCCCGTCCTCTTGACTGAGGCCCCCATCAACCCCAAGTCCAACAGAGAGAAGATGACCCAGATCGTCTTCGAGACCTTCAACGCCCCCGCGTTCTACGTCTCTATCCAGGCCGTCCTGTCTCTGTACGCCTCTGGTCGTACCACTGGTATCGTTCTCGACTCTGGTGACGGTGTCACCCACGTTGTCCCCATCTACGAGGGTTTCGCCCTTCCCCAGGCCATTGCCCGTGTCGACATGGCTGGTCGTGACTTGACCGACTACCTCATGAAGATTCTGGCTGAGCGCGGTTACTCTTTCTCCACCACTGCCGAGCGTGAAATCGTTCGTGACATCAAGGAGAAGCTTTGCTACGTCGCCCTCGACTTCGAGCAGGAGCTCCAGACCGCTTCCCAGAGCTCCAGCTTGGAGAAGTCCTACGAGCTTCCTGACGGTCAGGTCATCACCATCGGTAACGAGCGTTTCCGTGCCCCTGAGGCTCTGTTCGCTCCTTCCGTCCTTGGCCTTGAGTCTGGTGGTATCCACGTCACTGTCTTCAACTCCATCATGAAGTCCGATGTCGACGTCCGTAAGGACCTGTACGGCAACATCGTCATGGTATGTATTGGCAACTTTAGTCTTTCGATTGCAGAGTCTAACAAATTCTTAGTCTGGTGGTACCACCATGTACCCTGGTCTGTCCGACCGTATGCAGAAGGAGATCACTTCTCTTGCTCCTTCTTCCATGAAGGTCAAGATCATTGCTCCCCCCGAGCGCAAGTACTCCGTCTGGATCGGTGGTTCCATTCTCGCTTCCCTGTCTACCTTCCAGCAGATGTGGATCTCCAAGCAGGAGTACGACGAGAGCGGTCCCTCCATTGTCCACCGCAAGTGCTTCTAAGGTATGTCTCGAAGCTGCCAAGAAATGGTTGGCCATATACTGATCTGTTGACAGCGAATTGCTTCCCGAATTACCTCCTCGCCCTTCCGAAAGCACATCGATCCCAAAGAGGTCGCGAGCGGTGCAAGGTCTATTAGGCATTGCATGTATCGCAGTACGGTCTCATATTGGCGAAAAGTTGGTGACATGGTCAAGAAGTTTGGGTCGACCCTTCTCCCGAAAGATTTGGTCCTTTTTTTGTAGCAGGGTGCGCGTGGGCGCGTATAGGAGCGGACACGTCTACTACACCTGAGGTCGATCATACAATACACTTTGCTTACAGTTCCCGCGTGTTTGCCTCTCAATGGGTGTGCTGTGACCTTGTGTGGGTTAAAATTCTGAGTAGCGAAGCGTAGAAAGAGATCCAGTTTTGTTAATACAGTAGTCTACACGTATGCTATCCTGTGCTCCAAGGCCATATCGTACAGTATTACAGGCGTGGCTACTCTACGGTTTGGCGTCTGTGTTAGGGGTGTTTGTGGTCTGTTCTTCCGCAGACTGGTGAGCTATTTCTACCTCTGCTTCTACCGCTCCGCTGTCATTTTCACTGCCCGCTTTGCCTGCATTCTCTTCCTCTAACTTGCGGTATTTCCTTTTGCTCTTCTTCGCGGCGCTGGCCGCCTTTTTACGTTTCTCTTCGCCAACAATGGCCGAACGGCTTTGATCTCCGTTGCGTAGGTCGTCGAGTTTCTGGGCCAAGACCTCGCGGGCGATCTTGCGGTTTTGAGACCGGGAGCGGGTGGCTTGGGACTTGACAACGATACCAGTAGGGATGTGTTTGAGCTGTACGGCAGAGCTTGTCTTGTTCTGTAAGGGGTGGGTTATAGTCAGTTATGTGTCAAGCACCACTTATCGCAAGCTCTCCAGTCACAACTTAGAAGGAAGCTGTGCAGGCTACTGAGCCTGGGGGGAAGAGGCGAAGATAAGCGTACAATCTTTTGACCACCCGGCCCGCTGCCTTTAAGGTACGACTCTTCTATTTCGGAGTCTGGAGGTGGTTTGGGCCGGGGTGGCATCTCATGCTTCTTCAGCGCGATGGTGGGGGATGCGCTAAAGCAGGCGACAAGAGCCGTCCTCCTAGGATAGAGACTCCCGCCGCGCATGAAGCCATAGGCGTTGGCGTTGCGGGCTCCCAGGAGGAGTGGGGAGAGAAGACGGGCTAGAGACAGAGGGGGAGGCATCGCGTGCGCCGTGCCATTGTCCGAGGGTTGGGATGAGGTTTCGAGAATAGTGTTGGCGAGGCGAGCATCAGTGATCGAGCCCGATCCGCCAGCCGTTCGCGGCTGCAGCGCATGACGAGCATCGGGGAATGACAGGCCAATCAGATCGTTTGGATTTTCCCTTCCCCCCTTCTGAATGGTATCCACTCTTTTGCTTTGCTGGCGGTGTGGGTTTCCCAGTGGTGAGGCTGCTGCTTTATTTTTTATTTTTATTTTTTTATTTTCACCCTTGTTAGAATGGCGGATCGGTCGGGGCGGCCCAATGCGCTGAGTGTTTGTCGCGTGGTGCGGACCAGGCAATTTCACTGATAAGATTTGAGACTCCCGCGCCTACACCCTACACTATTCCCCCCATCTTTGCATGTTGCCTTTCTACTCAACCGCAAACCACCTCCTTTCGTGAGATTCCCTAGTTTACGGCGTCAAGAGACGGGGTTTTGTCTTTTATAGACTTTTCTACTTTCTTGAGGAGTACTTTTCTTGTTTTTATACAAGTGTCTGTTCTACCTCCCGCCGATCAATCGTCTCCTGAGGTCGAAAATCGAACATCCGAGCGCAAACACTCGAAACCGAACCTTCCAACGATCAACCAACATCATGTCTCTCCTCCAGTCTTTCAGCAAGTGGCTGCACTTGAAGCAGTACCAGCTTGAGGTCACCTACAGCGTGTACATTTTCACGCCCCTGGAAAAGTTCATCTTCTGTACGTCTTTCTCTTTTTTTGAAAATGTCACTGCATACCGCCGCCGCCCCTATTTCCCCTGCCTTGCTGTGTGTGGCACTTTTTACCGGACGACCCGGGGACTAACCAACGCTACATAACAGACACTGTCCTGTTCCTCCTCAGCAGCTTGACATTCATCGCTACCGTCCTGTACCTCCCCCAGCACATCGCCTTTATTGCGAACCGCGCCTGGTTCTACATGCACGGCGACCCGATCGAGGCCGTCGTCGCCGCTGTCGAAGTCACCAAGGCTGCGGTAGAGAGCGTATTGATGGCCGAGACGACGACGACGGCTGCCGCCCTGGCGCAGGAAACCGTTGAGATCGTCAGGGAGCTGTAAATGCCCACCGACTACCGATTTAACGTCGACAAACGAAATGAAGCGATGGCATGAAGAAGAAAAAAAGAAGAGGGGGGGAAGTAATAGCGACGCCTGGCTGGACGTCCGATGAAGAGCTCGAAGGGCGTGTTTGCGGGTTGCCGTGATGTTATGTGTGTACTCGGGCGGGCGTTTTTTTTTGGTTTTTGTTTTCTGGATCAGAACAGGCCGGGGGACGACAAACTTATATATATAACTTTCATGTGCATGCGGCGACGCATGTCTAATCATACCCTCATGCATAGACCTCAAATGGAAACGTATCCCTGTGTAGGGGACCTTGTAAATTCATTCGCTCGTTATGTTGGGTGCTCACAACCCGGTGAAGCTGTATATCCTCAGGGAGCTGTCCTCGCCGGCGATAGCCAGTTCGTCGCTGGCGGTGTCCGAGTCTTTTGACGGACGCCATGCCAGCTGGGTGATTGGTTTGGGGAGACACAAGCTGTCGAAGGGGTCAGTAATGATGGTGTAAGACATGATCTGAGAGAAAAACTTACTGAGGTGCCAACTGAGACGTTGCGACAGACTGGAAGGTCTCCGGAGCCAGCGTGCAAAGAGAAATCTTGCCGGACTCGGTTCCCACCGCCAGAATGAGCTCACCTCCCGCGCTCTGTCTACCGAGGAAGTCGACGGCCGTGACGGGGCCATCAAAGGCGATGCTGGTGGCGAGCGTAAACTCCGTCTTGCCGTCCTCCTGGGTCTTTGCGGCCCACACATTGGCCTTCTTGTCACGTCCGGCCGTGACAAACACCTTTCCGTCTGTCAAGGGAGCCCACGCAGCATCCAGGATCATACGTGTGTGGCCCTTGGGGTTAGCCTGGAGAAGCTGGTATCGCGAGCGCTCCTGCTCGTCCCGCTCAAAGACAGCCCACTGTCTATCTCTTCCAACACTCAGCAGGAATCGGTCGTCCGGCGAGAAGCGCAATCGGGTGGCTGTGAGCGTGTGTGCTGCCAGCGGCGGCCTAACCTCGGTCCACCGCTCTGTCTCGAAGAGGCGGATGACGGCGTGGTTGAGCGAGCTCGCTTTACAGGCACTGGCAATCAGCTTTCCGTCGTGGCTAGCGGCCAGACACGAAATCTCGTAGCCATGGCCGTACAGCTTCTCCGTCTCTGGCCAGAGAGTATGACGAGACAGCGACTCCTCGAAGGGCGGGTGGTCGATGTCAAGCATGGACTTGCGCACAACGGTAGCCGGGGCAATAGCCTCGCGGTCTTGGTGATCGTCCGCCTCGATCTCCACGTCGTCGTCGACGGCATCGATGGCCTTGTTGGAAAGACCGAGCACGGGCATGTTTGCGCCGTCTGGCATCGATTCCGTGGCAGATTGGATACCACCCAGAGTTTGCAACATCTGCGCCACGGCACGCGGCTCGCTGAAGACACGCATAAGCTTCTCGTCGGCTCCGGAGACAAACTGGGAGCCGCCAAGGGTATCGATGCAGTTGAGATCGTAGCCGTGAATCTGCGGACGCGACATCTCATGCCACGAGCGGCCGGCGTCTCGCTTCCAGCGCGCGTGAAGGCGAGTCGTCTGGTCTGAGCTCGTCGACATGAGGTAGTCTCCATCCCGCGACCAGGCGATGCCCGTGATGGTCTTGGTGTGGCCGGAGATGGCGATGGCGGGCTGCCATTCGTCACGCTCCTCGTTGTAGACCCATCGCCGCCAGCTTCCCGTGCGGCCGAGACAGACAACGGACTTGCCGTCGGGTGCCCATAGACCTGTCCAGAAGCCGCCGATGCTTCCCGTTGCTGTCGTCGCACCTTTTTCTCTGCTGATCTCACCGAGTCTAACCATGCTAACCCAGATGCCAGAGGTGGCGTCTGCCTCCCACATGGCAAGGGAGTTATCTGCGGATACAGAGAGGAGCTGAAGCTTGCCGTTCCGAGTGAGCCATCTCGCGCTGTAAATCCAGTCCTCGTGACCCAGGAGGAGGGCTTCAAAGGTGATGGAGAAGTCCTTGCCCCCAGACTGGAGACGGTGTGCCTTGTTGGACGGAGACCTGCCCGGGAGGTACGCGCCGCTGGATGGGTCTGAGCCTTCTGCTGCGAGGGATGGCAGCTCCTTGCCCTGATGAAGGCGCCAGAGTCTGACGTACTTATCCTGGCTTGCAGATGCCAATAGAAGGTCGCTTCCTGGCTCGGAAGTCTCCCAGCTAAAGTCTAAGGACCGAAGCCAACCCTCGTGACCTGATAGTGTTGCCTGCAGCTTGAAATCCAGCGTCTCCTCGCCATCAGCAGAAACGAAAATCTGAATGAAGGTCTTGGTTCCTGCCGCGGCCAGAACAAAAACGTCTTCGGCCTCATCGAGGGCCGTCAGTGCCAAGCAAAGGGGGAAGTATCTTGGGGCCGTCTTGATGGTTTGGCGAAGCTGCAGTTGGCCAGAGGTGAACTGCCAGATCTTGATGGTCGCATCAGCAGCGCCTGAAGCCAGGAGGACCTTTTTAGGGGCGCTTCTTGACTGGAGAATTGCTATGGTATTTATAGGAGCCGTATGCTCCTGAATGGTCTGGATACATTCTCCCTGGTTCGTCTTGGGATCAAGAGACCAGATTTTGAGCGTTTGGTCATCTGAACCACTGATGAGAAGTTTGCGTTCCTCGCCGTCCACTTGGGGAAGGAACTTAACTGCCTTGACGACCTCTTTGTGGCCGCTCAGAAGGCTTGTGATGCCCTCTGCATTTTCAGACTATCCCTCTGTATCAGCCAGCGGTTCTCTATCTATAGGGCGAGGAGGCTTACAGAAGGTGCCCACAAGGCAATATTGGTATCGGCACCGAATGCGAGTAGTCCGCAGGGGCTCCAGTCAGCAGCGGCTGTCTGCCTATTAGCTCCCGTAGACAGATACTCGACGGACGGTTGAGTGGCAGCCATCTTGTCTCTCGCCGTTGTGATACGGCAGGGTAGGCGAGTGACTCTGAGGGTTGACCAAATACGGCGTTGTGATTGGTTCACCAGCGAGAGTCAAGAGGTGAAGTTGAAATTTTCGTGGTGGGGGGGCTGCTGGGCCCTGGGCTTACAGCGTGCTACAGCGAGTCGGGTAGCCTAAAAGGTTGAAGCCGAGTGGACGCGCCGCCGCACCGTTGCTCCACTGACACCAGGCTGGGCTGCTACCGTTTAACATGTTTGCTTAGTTGTTCAGGCCCTGTTCCCGTCCCCCGTTCCCCGTCCCAAACCCCTAGCCACCCACATACACCTGCTCCATCCTCCGTACATCGTCCGTGCCTAGGGGCAAACAAACTCTATTGTGATTACATCTCATATTCTTCATCTATTCTCCGACGTCGCCTACATATCGGCGTCTTTTTGTCAGATTTCACCAGTCAACGAGGAAAGAAGAAATGACGAACGACGCTGCAGATGCGGGGGAGAAGATCAACGTGGTTGTCGAGTTCTCGTGAGTCTTCCTTTCGCACAATGATACTCTCTTTTGAGAACCGTTTTGCTTCAAGTTGGCATGGCTCGGTTGAGGACCTCATCCGTATCTCGCATTCATGTCAGGTACGAACGCATCACTGACAAGGTCTCTGCAGCGGTGGTCTGGAAATGCTTTTCGCTGACCAGCGGCGTCACTCTCTTTCGATCCCGGCGGTGAACAAGGAGGGCAAGCCTGCAAATATCGCCTTCCTCATTGACTATCTATGCGAGAACACCATGAAGGACAGTAGAAAGGAGCTTTTCGTCCTTGATGGCCATCTGTACGTTCCAGGGTCACGTTGCCCACCTCTCGTTCCATTAACATACCTCGTTCTCGCGTCATCTTGAATATCATCGCCCGTCTCATTGTGTATTTTCACACCCCAACCTTGCGGGCCATGCAAAGTGCAAAAGAGCGCATCGCCACTCCATCCGCAATATCACCAGGGCTCAGATTTCCCACACTTTGTGCAGATTACAACGCTAATGCTGTCTTTCTAGTCGACCGGGTATCCTGGCTCTCATCAATGATGCAGACTGGGAGCTTGAGGGAGAGGAGGCGTATGAAGTCCAGAGCGGTGACAATATCCTGTTCGTCTCGACGCTTCATGGAGGTTAAAGAGGAGGGGGCGTGGGCAACTCTCGGGCCAATGACTCCTCGAGGTGGGACGTGAGGAACCCTGCCTGCAGACCGTTGCGGCCGTACCTCTGGGTCCCCAAGAGCTGGGTGGACTGGGGACTAGCAATTTGCATCCCCGCGCCAGCAAGGACGATAGAATGCGTATAATACGGATACCCAGACGCCCTCCCCTAAAACCCTGCCACTCTCTCCCTTCTTGCAGCCGCATCGACTCGATGGCCCTACTTTAGTCTGCGGCCGTAGCCGTCAGTCCGGCCTTCATGCCCCCGGCTTCCCCGACGGCTTGGCAACGGGGAGACGCAAGTTGTGCTTCCGCTGTTGGTCTCGCTGCCTCCGCTACAAATACACCACATCCCACGTTCGCCGTCCGTCATGCCGCGATGAAACGTTCCGGGAGTTCAGTCCCCTGGTCCCCCGTAGGCCTGCAATTGCGACGCCTTGCTTGCCGCCATGCCCTGCTGTCTCTTGGTTGCATCCTGGCGGCAGGTCTTCACCCCTCATGTTCCCCTTCGCTGCAGTCGTCGTTGACCCGGCCGCCCCGAATTTCCTAATAGTCAACCCCGACAACGTGTTTTTGTCCCTCCCTCTCCCTGCTGCTGCTACTGCTATTACTATGCTACCATGCCATCTTGGATTGCGATGTTCGGCGTGCGGCACGGGATGGACGCCCGGGAAGGCCTGTCAAAGTCGCATACCCTACCGCGCGTCGCCCTGCCCAAACTTGATTTGGCATTAGAGCGCCCACGTTGGCAACACTTTTACTGTTCTTATCAAGCTTTAGCGCTACGCAGGGCGGTCAACGGATATGTTGGCCGTCACTGGCCCACGCCCACCAGCCTTGCGGCCGAGAAGATGGGTTTCTGGATCAGCGTTCTCTACGCAAGTGTACATATGCATATAGTAGTAAATAGGCCACTGCTGCAAGCTGTCAAAGTCCGTAACGGGAAACCAATCTCTGTATGCGCATCCCAAAATGACAGCCCCGTCGTTCACCCAAGTCTTGTCCCTTTCAATCATGGGTTGTTTCTTTTTTATCCGCATGTCCGTTGGGCAGCCCAATCTCCCGGTGCACCATTAAAGACGAGGCGGTGAAGAAAGTAGGGGAAGAAGAAACCGTGATGGGCGATCGATGGCTTGCATTGATGACGATCGAGAGCCTGCAGCATTTGGGAATTTCGTTCCGGAACATGCGCGCGCAGATTACATGCTGCTGCTGCTGTTGCTGCTGCACTGCTGAGCTGTGTTGTACCGCGTATCATCCGCCTTTCCGCCGGGGCTGCAGGAAAAAGCAAAACAGGCAAAAGACCCTCAACGACAGACGCTCCCCCCATCCAGTCAAGATAGCCGCCACATCATTCACCCCGCCCGTGAGGCAAAAAAAAAAAAAAAAAATTAAGGAGGGGGGTGGGCAGTGGGAGACGCATTTAATATTCTAGAAGGCGTAGATACGCACGTACCTGAGTGACCCCCACACACATGGCAGCATTCTCGTAAGCATTGCTCGATATGGACAATTTGTCGAGGTCGTATTCCCCCTTCGGCAATCGAAAACGTCAAGACATTTTCTGCAGGTTCAGTGAAGAGAGAGTTACAACAGGGGGGGGGGGATATGGACGAGACGAACAGTCAAGAGCTCTCTCGTACGTTGCACAGACACAATTAGCAACAGCCAACTGAGACAGGCTGCTTCACTTTCGGTTCCTACAGGGGCCCCCGGCCTGCGATGGCCTCGGTCTGTTCGGTCTGTTGATCTGGCCCTGTCCTGGCCTACTTGTTAGCTGCGCTGTGCCCCGGCGCTTCTCGGTGGTTCTTTAGCTTGAAACGGTCGTGGTTGTTTTGGTGAGGTGATACCCCGAGTGTTCGCCCGAGACTTGCGATATGATCAGTCAGAACTTGGCGGAAAGTCGAGGTTGTGAAAAACGTGCCTTCGTGATTGTTGTGATAATCATGGGAACTACTTATTTGAACCACGGTGGCTGTTGTGAGCCGGGGATATCAGGCAGCATGTAACGCGGCGAATAATTGCTTGACTACGTTCACGCTCGGTTTGAAGTAGATGTTAAAGTTGCCCGGCGAACATGCGATGTAAGTGTGACTTTCCCAATCCAGGGCTAGTGAAACAGCCAACCTTGTTGATCTCGATGGTGTTGATATGATCAAGAGAGGTTTGTGTGGTGGCGAATTGTGCTGCACTTTTGGTGTAAGTGGGTTAAGTCTGACATTCGGGAGTGGCAAGCCACATTAAGGTAGTGAAGATGGTTTTCCTTAATCCCATCAAGGGTTGGTTGGCAATAGCCAAGAGGCATGCGGACACTAGCCGAACATATCCTGAAAATATGATTATGTCGAGTGTTGAGTAGTATGTGGCTAGTATTTGGAGAAAGAGGTACTTGATATGAATCAATTTGTAACTTTCGCCAACTTATCCTCGATGGGATAAGGTAAGTAATGTAAATAGACCAATCATAAAAAATAACTTACAGCAATGAGGTTAGGACATATTGGAGCACAACTGCACTTTGAACTAGGTCTTAGCTACATTCAGCCTATGCATACTTGCGAACTTAAATGTCATATTTAAATCGTGGTAGTTCAGATATAGTTGAGCTATAGTCTTCCACCGTGATAACTGGTGGCTATAATTGTTCTTTTCTATATCCACTGCTTGCTGATTCAATAATTATATTAAACCAAAGGGATACACAAAGATGATAGAAGTTTCAATAGGCAACTTCTATTGCAATTTGTCTTGATATGTATTGTTCATTACCGGTTGAGGTGTCTTTGTACGCGCAACTTACTAGTTGGTCTTACACTCCCACCAGTGGAGGCAAATCCCACAACAGACGAGGTACTACAATCCGAAACCTCTTGAGGTAGCAACATCATACAAACAGTTACAAACAATGACCGGCGTACTAAAAATGCACTTCATATTTCTTCACCTTTGCTTTTTTTTTTTTTTTTCGATAACGTCGCACACCCACTTCTCGCACACCCCCACATTTCGCACACCCATAAATTGGGTCATCATGAGGTATTCATCAACTTCATAACTATAAGTCTGATTCGTCTCCTGCAACTGTGATACTATCGCCAGTTTTAATAGGTAATTCAGGCTCGCTAGATTCATCTGAGCTATCCTCAATTTCGCCAGCCTCAATTTGGGCTTTGTGAATTGCCTCAATGTTGGCAAACTTCGAATTTGGGCTCATTTGGACCTTACGCCGCTTCCGTACCATTCCAGCCTCAACTTCTGCTTCCAACATTGCAATCTTCTTCTCTGCTGTAGCCAATTGATAGTCCTTTTCATCAAATCCCTTTTGAACCTTCCGAAACAACAGTCGCTGCGTTTGCTGATCTTTATCCAACTTGCTGAATAAGCTAAGTTGATCATATAGATCAACTGTCTTCTTGGGCGTTGACCAGGCTACTATGGATGTAGCAGATGCCCAGTTTTCGTCTTTTCCACCATCAGAGGCCCTCATAGGCGTAGAATAGCCTGGCTTTGAGGGCTTGGAAGCATTCTCAAGCAGTAGAGGGCTCATGAGCGGTCGAGCTATCGAAATGGGCCATAGTCCTGTTGCTTTCCAGCCGCTTCTGATATTCTTGCTTGAAAATGCCATCTGGCGTGCTTTTCCATAGCAGGTAAGAAAGTTCCGTTTGCCTACAACTGTAGAATCGTTGTGTTGAATGAGGTATCCAAGCTCTTTTCGATAGGTCGCCTTGAGAGGCCCAAAGACTGCTTGGTCTAGAGGTTGGAGAACGTGGGATGTATGTGGCGGTAGGAAAAGGAGATATATCTTGTGTTTATAACAGAGATACATAAATTCTGTTGTTTCATGACTGCCATGACCGTCTAGGATCAATAGTCTCTGCTCAGAGGGATGATCAGGCTTAGTCAGAGGGATAAAGATGTTCTCAAGCCATTCCACAGCTGTAGAGTCTGAAGTCCAGCCATTCTCAGTTGCTGTGAACTTCCAACCACTGTAAATATCACGTTTATGGATATCAAGAGGAAACCATTGTTGTTGAACCGATTTCCCTCGATAAATAACAAGTGGAGGAAGCGCCTGACCAGTTGCAGAGACACACTCAAGCATAGTTGTCCAAGCCCGAGACCCAGGCTGTTTTTTTCGCATTGATGAGCTTTCTGATGATCCCAGTACTAAGCCATTTGATCCTCTGCCTTCTAGGATACCAGTTTCATCCATGTTATAGCGATGATGTGGTTTGATCGCCTTGATCTCTGGAAGGGCGAGTTGTTGAAACCATTGCCTGATTACATTAGTTGAGGCCCCATTGACACGCTTAGAATCGATGGCTCTAGCTCTATGAACCTTGATTGATGGATTTCTCTTAATAAAGAACTGAATCCAGTTTCTCCCAAGTGGCTGGGTAGTGCCTCTGATGTCTAGGATTCGCTGGGCAAATTCCTTGAGTTGTTGATGTGTTGGCGGCAGCCCTAACGCCGCCTGGATACGCACCCATTCAGCTAAGTGACTTTCCTGTGCTGGAGATAGCTTCTGGAAGCTAGAGAAAGCTACATTTCTTGCCTGTGAACCCTTTAATCGAGACTGGAGGGTTGATGGTGGAATTCCAGCATCATGAGCTGCCTTTCGGACACTCTGCCCACTTGCAACTGCATTGAGAGCTTGATTGACTTCTGTTTCCGTATACTGGCCCATTAAGCGTATAAGAGTAACTATTCAAAGAATTATAATAATCGCTGTAAAAGTGGTGAAGATATTAAAGAATGTTGAAGAGGGTAAAATTCTACATGAGCGATTTATGGGTGTGCGAAATGTGGGGGTGTGCGAGAAGTGGGTGTGCGACGTTACTACATTACTTTCGTCACAGACAGTTGAAGTGGACGGTAGGCAAACATGCGAACGGAACAAAATACACAGTTAAAGACGAGCTAATTTGCATCGGAGAAAAAAGGCAACGTGGACAATAATTAGGCAACTAGTCAGCTCCTCGGAGCAATTGCAGAGAAATGAATGTATAATGGCCCATTTGGCTTGAGTTTATAGCGTCGAAAGATATTGCCTATTTGGTACATAATGAACGTAGAAAGCCGAACAGCCGATAGCGACTTAAAATTGTTTCTACTCAGCTGCTTACGTTTTATTACACGAACCTTCATACATATCTGTTGGTGGCGTAATTACCAGCCAACCGAAACAAAGACTCATTAGTCTATTGTAATCACTTATACCCCATTAACAATAACTCAGCCGAAACGTTATTTTTTAATAGTTGAGATATGCTGACTAACACCCTTACACATAAAATCTTTATTTTAACCAACAACTCCGAGTAATACGGCCGTTCCGTAATTCTGTAGTATCGTAGCCCTCGATATGCACGAGGTATTAAACAATAAGCCAAAACATATATAAGTCTATGAGTTTGTTTCATTCCACACCATCATTAGTCGTCACTATGTCATTATGTTTATTTCTGTCCGCCCTGCTTCGCCGCTGCCATCGCTGCCATCTTGGCCTTACGCTCCGCTCTCCATCCTGGAGACTTCAGTCGCAAAACTAAGAGGCGTTAGCTTCATGATGAGACAGCACAATGAACGATTCTAGACTTACCAATAACTGCAGAACCAACAAGAATGAGGTCCAGCAACGCCAGACCAGTAAAGCACCAGCCACTACCCATCTTTGTAACCAGAGATGGGATCACAAGAGCAGCAATAGCCGCACCGGGGTTACGGAGCATGTTTCCGAGAGCAAAGGCAGCAGCAGCCTGCTGAGCGACACACTCGGTCAAAAACGCCGTCGTGGCCACAAACACCCAGTTCATGCCGAATCCAGCTGTTAAGACGCATGTTAGTGTCTGCCTACGTAATAATCTTCGGAGGTTGTTGATTGATGACTTACTCACGAAAGTGGCAAAGATCACTGCGGCAGGGTGTACCGATTTGTCGACAAGCCAGCCGTACATGAGGCAACCCGCAGCACAGATGACCACGCCGTAAATTTGATCCGAGAGTCTGTTCTCAGGGTCGACGGTGTTATCTTCGGACGCCTTGAGAGCACGAGCACGCTTCCAGTCTGATACACGGCCACCGATGAGAGAGCCGACGATCATTGCAATGCCCACGGCCAGGAAACCGGCGCCGACGCCGGCGGTAGACCAGTTGTACCGGTTGGAAAGCTCGGTAGGGAGCTGGACGGCGATGGCAAAGTAGGTCGAGTAGAGCATGGCGGTGTTAAAAGTAACAATGCCAATGGGGGCGTAAGTAAACAGGCGCCAGTAACCGATCAAGGTCGGCTTGGGGGGTGCGGGGCCCCTTTCCGACTCAGGGGCCAGAGGAGAGGACCAGCGCGGGGGAAAGAAGACGACACTGGATTCTGTGTAGAGCTTGCCATTTCCTACCCTAGCACGGAGGGTCTCAGGAAGAGAAAAGATGATGACGATCCAGAGAAGAGTGCCGGAAATGGCTGTCATACAGTCAGCTTGTGTTTACAATACGCGATGAAAATTGTGTTGGCACTTACTGAGAAAACCAAAGATCCAGCGCCAGGATGCTTCGGCCAGCGCACCTCCCAAGACAGGTCCCAAGACAGGTCCCAGCTGGGGGCCGATCAGGAAAATAGACATGGCAGTTGCACGCTTCTTTGGCTCGGTGACCTGCAACTGTTAGTCAAAGGTGAAATTGCGAAGAGTTCAAGGGTTACGTACGTCAGCGACAGTTCCTGCACCCATGGACACCACGGCCGCGGATCCAAAAGCCTGCACGATACGCAGAAACACAAGTGCGCCATAGTTTGCTGGCACTGTAGCCAGGAGTATGTTGGCCCCAATGTAGATGCCGATGGAGATGATGTACAAAGGGCGACGACCCTTCCAGTCGGCAAAACTTGACCAGAAAAGAGGCTGTTTTGTATTGATCAGTAACCTGAATAAACTGCGAGATGATGCACAAGTATACATACTCCGATAGCAAACGTCAACATAAAAACCGACACAGAGACGTTAATCGCGGTGGCGCTGGCATGAAACTCTTTCTCCAAGACAGGCAGCGCGGGGAGATAGATGTTACCCGCCAGCGGTCCGAAGCAACCAGCGATAGTAACAACAGTCAAAATGAAGCGTTTGCGCCATGGCGAGAATGCAGTGTATGCTGGTGCTGCACCGGCCTTCTTCTCAGGGTCTGCTGTGGACTGAGACTGGGGGGGTTGTGAGGGTAAAGGGTAAGGTAGTTCCCGCGAGATAGGAGAGTCTTTGACTGGTGTGGACTCGCAGGAGCTGGGAGGGCTAACGTCCAGCTTATCGGACTTCTCGAACACAGACATATTGAAGGAAATAATAGAGAAATTTGGAAGTCTAGATGCCTAACAACAAGAAGAAAATACCAAGAAATGTTTTAAAGATCCGAAAGGGTCAAATGAATTGATGAGGCAATAAGATGAAGGGATGTATGCTGAAGATGTTCCCCATCGCTTTTAATAACGGCGGTCGATCGCCTTCATTTGAATGAATGATGTTGAGCTAGTTGTTCTAGCACTTACAGTGGGCGCAGTATGTACACAATGTCACATCCCGGCCGATGCACCCTGGTCCCAATCAATCCTTCTTTCCAATCAGCCACGATCTTTGGCGGCAGTGCGGCGGAGACCCACCCAAAGTACCAGTACTTCCATCCCGTATCTGTAAGTATGCACGCTCTGCTGCTGCCTCCCAGAGCCATTTGGGGCATTTCTACGAAAGACACATCCAAGTCGTCCAAAAGCGTTGGGACTTGACTATTTCTTGGCGAAAACGCTAACCGCCTGAGAGACCGATAGCTGCCTTCATGCTGTCCTGCCTACTAGTACTGCCGCACCGACGGCGCAAAAGGCGCACAGCCTCTGGGGCTCTGACGATTTCTTAACCTACTTGCACGAGGTCTGCAACAACATCAGCCATCTGCAGGCTATTTCGAGCAATACCCAAAGCCACATCCCAACACCTATTTTGATCTGTTCTTTTTCCAGCCTGTCATCAGCCCTAAGCTTGGATGAGCCCAGTAAGCTGTTGGTTGGCAGGGCTGAGAAGAAGAAAATAAGAGAGCTTGGCCGATAGACTTAGTCTGTGCCATATAAGCTCTCGATTTTTGCTTTATTATACGCCCCATACTATCCGCCCACACGACTTGTGAACTTGACCGTTCTGAATACCATCTGACATTCGGATAGACTTCAGATATCAAGCTCCTTCCTCCATCATGTTCTTCTTTCTCGCCGAACTGCTGTTTCTTGCAGCTGTCGTTTTAGGACTTCTTTACTATTTTTTCCTTCTGCCTCCCAAATACCCAGAAAACATTCCGGCCATACCTTTCTGGGTTGCGCTCATTCCTTTTTTCAAAGATGTCGACCAGTCAGATATTTTCCGCAAATATATTGACAAGCCGCTGCGGACTCACGGTGCGGTGAAGCTCTTCTTCGGCGCGCAATGGAACATTTTGGTTCACCGGCCGTCCTATGTGACTGAGATCTTCAAGAACGAAGACCTCTATCAGAAGAGCGGCAACCAGAAGAAAATTCCGCACAGCGTCCTCGCTGATTTCCTGGGTAAGCTGACGGTCCTCGATTCCTCTTGGAGTGCAAGCGTTCTAATTCTGTAACCAGGCGACAACATTATTTCTGCACACGGGAACACATGGAAATCCTACCAGACGGTCATCAAGCCTGGATTACAACGGAATTTTGAGGCAGACATCGTCACCAAGAATGCCGTCAGCCTGTGCCGACTCCTTCTCGAATCCCAAAATCGGGCGGGACGTGGGGGCGTCCCGGTGCAAGAGCTGCTGCAGCGGTATTCGGTCGCGAACTGCTCCGAAGCCATCTTGCAGACCAATCTTGGTGTAAGTTCAGGACCTAAGCTACCCAGCGGGCCGTCGTGCAGGGGGGAATTTTTGCTGACCGCATGCGCAATTTGCGCAATCAGGCCCTTGATTCGCCGGACGCTCCTATCAATCTCCTCCAGACGGCGGTGAAGAGAGAAATCTTCAAGCCAGTCTTTATGAACTTTCCGATTCTGGATCATCCTAACCTGCGTTGGCTCTTCCCCAGCCGGACAAGGGCCCGCCAGGTTGTCGCTCAATTTAAAAACGAACTCAAAAGCTCTCTGGCCCACCAGAAGCCGGTGGGGGTTGGACTAGGCAGCCGGATGCTCCATGCATGGGAGTCTGGCCTGTGGGACGAGAAACAATTACTCGACAATCTAACGGTAACGTTTGTTGCGGGTCAGGAGAACCCCCAACTGTTGATGACATCTACGCTCTATGTGCTAGCTAAACATCCGGTATGTCATCTCGGGTTTGCGCCCGCATTCCTTCGCCGAAACGCCACCAAATCTGACTCAGACTTTATTTTCCAGGAAGCGCAAGAGGCTTTGCTACGCGAAATTCTTGCCAAGGACGCCGATCCCCAGTCAGATCTGAGCCAAGAGGATATGCCCTACCTCACCTCAGTGATTTATGAATGCCTGCGCCTGTTCCCACCAATCGGTCAGCTCATCAACCGCAGAGCGGCAGCACCTTGCCTGCTCGGTGGCGAGCTGGTTGTCCCTGAAGGTATGCAAGCTTGCGCTCTGGATGGTAAACGTACGAAGGAACATGTTATCTGACGGGAAAAACAGGAACCTACCTTGGCTACCACTGCCGATCAACAAACTGTGACCCGGTCGCATGGGGACCGGATTGTGAGCAGTTTAACCCCGCTCGGTGGGGAACAGCATCGGAAGAGATCCAGCAGAACTTCCGTCGGCGTCGGGCGAGGGGTGAGTTCATCTCGTTCCACGGTGGAAAACGCGCATGCCTGGGCGAGAGGTTTGCCATGCTCGAGATGCGGACGACGCTTGTGCATCTGATCCGTGAATTTCACTGGTCATTGGACCCTACGTGGGTTGAAAGGATGACTCCTGTAAGTCCAACCTCTTCCTTGTTCATTCTTCAATCCCCCCTGGTCAACAAAATTCCCTCGTATGCACGCATGCATGCGGTTGAGCCAATATTCAAGCAAGTGGCCATTCACTGATGACGGAATTACAGGCAGGCCCATTGTACCCCAGAGCCTTGAAGCTCGTGTTCGAGGAAAGGGGGAAGGAAGAAAAGGCATGACTGTAAAAAAAAAAAAAATAGGACAGCTTACTTTAATTTTTGTAAAATTATAATATTTTGGCGTGTTAAGCATAGATTTGTTAAGATGAAGCAATCTGGAGTTTAGAGTTTTTCTTGTCAGCTTAGCTTCGATTCTAGAAACAGCAGTATTTCGCTTTGACATATTTTTATTTTATTTTTTTTGGTGTGGAGTTTCTGGAGAGCGGTACTATGTACCTGCGGAACTCCGTACAAGTACATAGCTATCTGAAGTCTTACAGGATGCTGCGAGGATGTTTAAGCTTCTAAAATAAAACTACAGGCATCTTGATATGCAGTTGGAGAACGGGTCGATCCTTTTCGTGGATCGATAAAGCGGGTAACGACCAATGAGAGGGCGCGTACTGGGAGCCAATACAAGATCGACAAGACCTACAAGACTCGACACCTCAGCTTGCACAACGATGCAACTCTGGCCCATTTGAGACATGGTGATGATATTTCCAGGGAAACCACGCCATGGTTAGCACACTTTTCGCGAGATCATGCTGGTTCTTCTCGTATTGGAAAAGATTTTGTTGAGGTTGAATGCCACTTGGAGATGAATATTTACCAAAAAGGCAAGTCTATTAGATGGGTTCTACCACGTATGCACACGAAGTTCAACGTGTCCGGTAACACGGGCCGGACCAGCGACGAGAGAGATACCGACGGGATGGTCACCACCAAATGAGGCATATGAGAGGTTTAGGAAGGGATTCCTTGTCGACATGCCTGTCAGTCAAGATGAACCACTATAGTACAGTTATAGTACTAGCAGATGACCGAGTCCGAGCACGAAGCTAGGCCGGCTGGGGGGCACTTCTCCAGCTTACTGTCCCCAAGTTTGAGTATGGGGTCCCAAGCCTCACGTCTGATGGAGTTGTGGCTGGGCTCTGCCTGCGGTTTTGAACTGACTGGCGCCTAGCCTCGAACGATTAAGCGCAAATGTGCCACAATTGGGTTCTATTAGTAGACATATGCCAATTTTTTATTTTTTTTTGCTGGATCTTGCAATTGCACTGTTCTTGCCTTTATCGGAAAGGTGTCAGCCTTGGCTGCAGGAACCGGCCAATAGAAGCGGCTTCCAGCTGTGGTGCGATTGCGCTAACTGCTTACATGCGCATCCAAAGTCGATGTACTTGTACCATGGAGGCTGAACTGAATGACCCCTGGCAGCTCTCTGCCTGTTTGCCTGCATTGTCGATGATTTCCGGGGCTCCGAAGTGGCCCTCTAGCGAAACGTTCATCCCACCTACTCGTTTATTGTTTGCAATGGCCAGGGTTGTATCCCGCCTCTGTAGTCCGAGCCCTGCAGCCATACATGTACAAGCGCTCTCCTCGTCCAAGCCCGGGGCGAAGCCTCAGTCCCAGACGCTCAGTGAACCAATATTTCTCCTGCTTGCAGACTGAGCATCGGGGCTTGGAGTTTGCATCATCGCTAAGAAGCTTGTTTGGCGGGTAGGACGGTCCTTTCTGTGCTTGTAGGAGATATTTTTTGCTCCTTGCAGCTGACGAGAGCTTCCGCCCTATACTATTCTTGCAAAGGCTGAGCGGAAATTTCTGTTGAGATCGTACCACACGCTTCGATCGCCGAGCTCCTAGTGCAGGCGAAGCCCAAGAAGGCATTCACAGACGTTGTTTACTGTCAACTTCAAAACTTATAATAACTAGTCAACAACGGCGTCTTCATACCTTTGTTTCACTCTTCACTCATCACACACACGATAACAAAAACATCAATATCAACACACAAACACAACAACAATTTCTAATATCTCACTCTCACACATCATTCTCTCCTAACTCATAATATCTTATTTTATTACACCCCACTACACACTTTCACATTTTCACAATGGAATTCTCCAACGACGGCAACTCCATTTTCCACCGCTTCCAGGCCGCCTTCGTTCACAATGGACAGGGTGAGCTTTTGTATTGCAGCGGACCTCAAAAGTCCAGAGTGCAAGAGAACTGGGGTTTGATCACACAACGACTCCCCAGCCAGACCCAGTCTTCAACAAGCACACAGTTTGGATCCACGGATCTGGACGGCAGCCTCGAGGGTTTGAGATTATATGAGATGCGCAATCTCAAGTTCAACAACACATCGGGTATCATCCTTGACAGCTCAGCTCAACAATCTACCCTCAGCACACAATTCGAGGCCTTCTTCGCCCAGTTGCTCCTCAGCCAGGCCGACTTTGCCATTCGCGACTCAGAGCTTATGAAGGCCGCCCCCAGCAGCCCTCTCGCAGTCACAGAACAGATCGTCAACCTGTTCGACAGCTTCTTGAGGTATCAGGGCAAAGATGATCAGTGGGAGGCCTGTGGACGTGCATATTTCACAGATCGCGTCCAGCACTTCACTGCCCAACAGGCTCCCATCGAGCTCTGCCTTCCCGCCTTCCCTTGCAAGTCTTCCAACACCAACAAGGTCCTCGGCAAGGCACCTGACCGTGGCGAGCAGCTCGCACTTGAGCGTCTCCACAGCTTTGTCGAGCAGGTTGAGGAGATTTACAAGCCCGGTGCCAAGCTGTGGATCATCAGCGACGGCCACGTTTTCAGCGATTGCAGTAAGTCATGCCGGAGTCACCAATGGTAATGGCCCTTTACTAACTCTTTTTCAGTTGGTGTTGACGATGCCGACGTTGACGCATATGGTGAGCAATTGAAGGAGATGAACGACGCCGTTGGCCTTCGCCGCGGCAACACTGAGCGCGTCGGTTTCAAGTCCCTCGTCGACCTCTTTGAGTTGACCGAGACCAACACCGAGATCGCTGAGCTTGCTACCGAGCTCAACATCCCTTCTATTGCCCACCACGTTCAGACTGGCCACACCGTTGAGGCCGAGCTCTCCAGACAGATCCTTATGGCCGGCTGCCAGCCCCAAGAGTCCGCAGTCAAGGCCAAGATCAAGTCGCAGAACCCTGCCATTCTCGCTCTGTACCGCGGCTTCTCCCGCTTCATGCTTGAGGACCTCGAGCTCCACCCCTTCACCCAGAAGATGACCCGCACTCAGCAGAAGAAGCTGTCCACCAAGGTGGCCTTCGAGATGATCATGGTAAGCTGAACCATCATTCTTTTACTTTCTATCACACACAGAAGCTTACAATCGACCAGCGCAACCAAGCATACTCCAACCTCGTCGAGCTCCTCTTCCCCAACTATGTTCGCTTGTCCATCCATGCACACAACAACGCTGGCCCCAAGTTTGGCATCCAGCTCTTCGACCCTGCAGTCGTCCGCGTTGTCGAGGGACTTTCCCCCGACGGTGTGCCCATGGCTTCCCGCGACCTTCTCCACATCCCCACCCCCTGGCACAACTGCGTGGTTGAGATCGAGGGCAGCCCATACCTCCTCGTCACCAAGTCCAACATACCCCAGACGGCCTTGGAGACGGGCGCCATGACCGGTGGTGTTTCCAACATCGGCGGTGCCTCATACGTCCTGCACCCGAAGAAGCTCGAGGTTGTTGTCGAGGAGGAGGAGGAGGAGGAGGAGGAGGAGGAGAAGACGGAGGCGCGGGTGGCCGTCCTCGCAAAGAGCCCGGCCATCGTCAGAGCCATGTCCTTCAAGCCCATGGCCAACGGCCTGCCAGGCTTCGACTGGGCTCGTCAGCTCCGCCAGCTCACGGCAGCGCTTCCCATCCTCGGCTGGCTTGGAGCGTTCTACCAGGGCATCGTGAAGACGTTCGCCTAATACCAACTTAATAGTTTTTTACATTCTTTTTCAACTGTATTTTTGGCGTTTTAGGAATTGTGGAAGCAAGCGTTGGGGTTTTACAAGAATTTGATGATACGACATCAGGCGTTTTATAGGTGTACTTTTCTTGTTCTTTTTATAAAGTACAATAACGTACATGATAAGCGAGTGAGACAGACAAGCGAGTGAGACAGTAAACCGCGACCGTCGCACCTTGACGCGACCGGCACCTTTTCCTCTACAATAAATCATGGAATCAGCTAGTATTGAAAGAAGGTTACAAATTGCCCTTCAAGCAATGAGAAATGACCCAAAACTTAGTGCTCGGGCCGCAGGTGCACTCTATACAGTCAGTCACGCAACATTAAGCCGGCGACTAAAGGGAATAGTCTCACGACGCGACAGCATGCCTAATTCACGGAATTTATCAGATTTAGAAGAGAAGACAATAGTTGAGTATATTCTCGACCTAGATGCGCGATCATTTCCTCCCCGGCTGAGTGGTGTGGAAGAAATGGCCAATCGACTTCTCGCAGAGCGCGACGCGCCTCCAGTTGGGAAGCGCTGGGCTTCTAATTTCGTCAAGCGACAACCACAGCTTAGGACGCGTTTCTTTCGCAAGTATGACTATAAGAGAGCTCAATGCGAAGATCCAGAGGTGATTCGTGGCTGGTTTTCGCTTGTGAAGAATACAATTGCGAAGTATGGTATTGCTGATGCTGATATCTACAACTTTGATGAGACCGGCTTTATGATGGGCGTTATTGCTTCTGGAATGGTTGTTACAAGTGCTGAAAGGCGTTCAAATACGAAGATGACACAGCCTGGCAATAGGGAATGGGTTACAGTTATCCAGGCTATTAATTCCCAAGGGGAGAGCATCCCGCCATACATCATCGTTGCAGGCCAGTATCACCTCTCAAGCTGGTATACAGAAACCTCTCTTCCGGGCGATTGGGCTATTGCAACGTCTGAAAATGGATGGACAACAAACGAGAGAGGTATTGACTGGATCAGACACTTCGACATTTATACAAAACCACGTACGTCTGGGAAATATCGCCTCCTCGTTGTTGATGGTCATGAAAGTCACCACTCCGCAGCCTTCGAGCTCTTTTGTCAAGAAAACAACATTATTACACTGTGCATGCCGGCTCACTCGTCTCATCTACTTCAACCCTTAGATGTTGGTTGTTTTCAGCCGTTAAAGAATGCCTACGGTCGGCAAATTGAGAATAAGATGCGGCGAGGCACAACCCATATCTCGAAGGAAGATTTCTTTGCAGCATTTCACGAAGCTTTTAAGCAGTCTTTTACGAGGAAAAATATCCAGGGAGGTTTCCGAGGAGCTGGACTTGTCCCTTTGAATGCAGAAAGTGTTCTCTCAAAGCTGGATGTAAAGTTCCGAACGCCAACGCCTGAGGAGGGGGTCCCTCAGACACCAGACCCTTGGATCTCTAGGACGCCGAGCAACCCAAGCGAAGCAAGATCACAGTCTACTTTTATTAAGAGTCGAATCTCACGCCACCGAAGCAGCTCTCCAGCATCAATTTATAGTGCTGTGAGTAAGCTAGCCAGAGGGACAGAAGGACTAGGGCATCGGGTAGCATTACTAGAGTCAGAGGTTCAAATCCTTCGAGAGGAGAATGCAATATTAAGTCGGCGTCGAAGGGCTAAGAAAACACGTCTACAGAAAGGAGGAAGTCTTACTATATCTACTGGAGAGGATATACAGTCGCAAAGAGAGGCAGACACGCAACTACAAGAGGAAACGCGACGGAGTAGTGGTCGCAAAGTGAGGTCTGAGACGACTCATCGTCGGTGTGGCGTATGCGGGAATACAGGCCACAACGCGAGAACATGTCAATTTATTGAGGAAACATCCGAAGAACAGGAATCCGAGTAGTATTAATCAATCTAAGATTTCTTGTTATAGATTTCGATATTATTGTCGCGAAGGTCTGGTTTACTGTCTCACTCGCTTGTCTGTCTCACTCGCTTATCATGTACGTTAATCTTAGTAGATTAAATAGATAAGTGATAAACAGACACACACACACACATATACAAAAGAGCTATCCATACCTTGCCGGCACTACCCTGCCACTTGGCCCCATCCACGTGTAATGTTACCCTACTTTTTTTTGTCCCAAGAATCCCGGCGTTGCGGTTGAGCAAGTTCCATTTCCCAATCGGGCAACTTTTGCTCTCGGGGATCGAAAAACTTGCTCATATGGGCGCGCGCCAAGCCCCATCCCTCGCTCCGAAAACCACAAAGCAAAACCGCCGTAAATTACACGGGGGATCAATCAGCGGGCCGGTCCATTTCCAACTCGAATGCTCTTTGGTCGGAAATCTCCCCTCCCAGTCATCGGTGTTGGCACAGCAGGGAAAAAAGCCCGCTGACCTACCCTCTCAACCCTTACCCCGCGGTGAGATGGGTTTGGTGCCGTGGCAATTTACTTTTTGAACAAAAGGATCCTACCTTATGAGGTGTCTGCCTGCGCACGTAAGGGATGCCCTCGCGCCGCAACGCCGGCTTGCAAGGTCCGGGGAGAAATAAAGGACGTGCCGGCGCGGCTGGGACGAGTCAAGAATAAGAAGCTCGTTGTTTCCCGCATTCCCACTCGGCGATCTACGTCGTTGTTCGTTGTCATCGCCCGTCGTCGTCGTCTTTAAGTCGCTACTCCGCCGGGTCCGAGCTCACGTAGTATATACAAAAGATGCGGTTCCACGCTGATGCTTCCCCACGGGGGTTGTTCGTTACGGTCAGCTTACTCCTCGCTTGTTTCGCGACCATGACGCACGCGCAGGAGGGTAAGGTCCAAGCGTGTAAGTCAAACCCTACAATGCATCCTTTTTTTCTCTGCATAGTGTAGACGAACCGTTACTGACCGGGCTTGAAAGGCATCCCGCGCCCGTCGACAACGACGAGTGTCCCCGCCGCGCCGTCGGCGCCGGCTTCCGTGCCCAAGAACTTTGGCATGCTCATTTTCCGCGCCTACGAGATGCTTGACGTCTTCGGGCCCCTTGACGCCCTCGGTGTTCTCGCGAGAATGTACCAGCTAAACCTGTACCTCATCTCCAACACGATGGACCCCGTGACAGTCGAGCCGACCTCGCCGGCCATGAACTCCAAGAACTCGAGCTTCGTAGGTTTCCCCCTCTGCTGTTCAGACGTCCCCTGATTAAAAGACCGCTTACTCCGGAACCTTACCCTCCGGGACCAAAGTGATGGACCGAAATGCTGACGCTTTACAAAAAAAATAAAAAGTTCCCCGTGCTCCTCCCAACACACACCTACGCCACCGCGCCAAAGGACATTGAAGTGCTCATGATCCCAGGCGGCCTCTGGACGCGGTCGCCGAACCTCAACGACACCATCGCGTACGTGCGCGAGTCGTACCCGAACCTAAAGTACCTCATCAGCATCTGCACGGGGGCCTCCATCGCCGCGCGCGCAGGGGTCCTCGACGGCCGCCGCGCGACGACGAACAAGGCGTCGTGGGCGAGCACCATCGTCCACGGGCCGAACGTGACCTGGGTGCCCAAGGCGAGGTGGGTCGTCGACGGCAACGTGTGGTCCTCGTCCGGCGTGTCGGCGGGCATCGACGCCACGCTGGCCTTCATCAGCGAGGTGTACGGCAAGAACAACGCCACGTACATTGCGGATATGATGGAGTACGACTGGCACACCGACTCGTCGTGGGATCCGTTTTCGGAGAAGTTTAACGTGACGGGGGCTGGGGCTGCGTGATTATGCTGATGTTGTGGTGCCGTTTGGCGGGTTTGGACATTTCGGTTGTTTTATTGACGGATTTGAAGTTGGATGAACGGAGTAGTGCAAACTAGCCTTTGTTGTAAGGCCAGCAGGTTGCCAAAACCGAGTTGACGGCGACTTGTGCGGATTGTTGGTTTAAGCGTGTTTTGTTAGATGCCGCTTGGTTTTGGGAGTTATGCAGCCGCACGCCAAGATGAAATGTTGATTCGCACGTTTACCTTGGGTCAGAATAGATATTTAGAGGCCCATCTTACATGGACTAGATATATGTCTTTAATGCCAGGGAGGAGGAGACGTCGAGTATGTTGAAACATTCGTGGAACAGTGTGAACCCTGGTCTAGCCAACCTGACGTTGACTTTGAAATTTGTTTCAAGCGGTAAACGTTCGGTTGAAAGTATTTTGTAGAATTGCTACTCTTGTATTTCTTTCATCGCATGTTTTGAATTGTTCGTTTGAAGTTGGCTTGCGGGGAAAGTCGAGCTAAAGAGAGAATGAGTTACATGGGTATAGTGCAATCTCACTTCTATCAAAATAGTGACAATATAATCCTCAGAAGAGAAACAATACAAAGAGTGCACTCATCGCCTATTTTGACACACATAATTTTGATAGTGTAGTGTGAGTGGCTGTTTTTGTTGCGATAGTTGGAATACGGAGTCGTGTGGCACTTCCAGCCACACGCCCGCCAGGCTGAGAGGCCCAAGCCTCCCAGACCCACGTGACAGGCCAAGGGGGAATATCCCCACCTTCTAGTCAACAACACTACTTTCAACTATCATAAACCATCGATTAGAACTAATTTACTATTATTTGTTATTAACGAACGGAATTCCGTTTCACCCCCTATAAAACCTATACTGATTAGTAGTAAACCTTATAGTTGCTATTAATTTAGTTAACTTTATAATTACTACTCTACTACGGACAAACCGTAGATTAGCAAGGTTAATACTAGAAGAGACGACTTCTTAAACTAGATACCTAAGCCTAGGTAAAAGTAGGGATTTCGTACTAACGAGAGAAGAAGCGAGAGTAACTAGGATCTACGGAAACTAGTAGAAGAAAGCTTCTTTTCCTCGAATCTACTAGCAATCCGATTATTCGAGTAACCTAGGGACTGCTATGCTTACCTTAGGCAGGATAAGGTTAATCGTAGCTAATTATCGCTAGCAAAAGCGTTCTATTACGCGTTTTCAATTACTAGAAGAAGAAACCTACCGAATCGATAGTCTTCTAACCTCTTTACGCTATAAAGGCGAAGATTCATAAATCCTATAAGGGATAACAACTTCCCTAACTATAACTATCCCCCACGCGCGGTGCTAATTACGAGGCGCTTACTAGTTTCTTAATAAATCCCTAGACAAGGTACTAACCGCAAGGCGCCTGCTATAAAAGACCTCCCTACTAGAAGAAGAATACGCCGAAAGGCAAGCAGAGACTACTAGCAGTAATCCGCCTATATAGCTATACGTATACGCCTCCGAGGCTACGGCTTAGGAGAAACGTACGTAGTTATAAGCGTTATAAAGCTAACTATCTACTAGATTCTAAACTTCTTAATAGTAAGGAGCAAAGCCTAAAGCGAGAAAGAGAGATTTACGAGAGAATCTACGGTAGAACTCTCTCCCTACTAATTCGAGACCTATATATACCCTTATACCCCTCGAGAATATCAGCAAGAACGGCGCTAACGGAAATAAACGACGAACCGACGAAAATCCCCGATTTTACGATTCTTTCCTTTTAGAATTATAATATCCCGAATCGTCTTTTAACTCCTACTTCTAGGCCTATATCTTATACTAATCGTAGCTAACGCTATTAAGGATTAGAATTTAAGATTCTAAATAGAAGTAATCCTTTTATACTATTAGAATAAAGCGAAATTTACGAGAAGGATCGCCTACGAGCAGCGTTACTACTAAAAGCTAATTAATAGTCCCTATCTTATAAAGAATCGAAAGTATAATCGATCTAGTAGTATAAGGCAACTAGGCAATCGACCTTATAAACGCTAGCCTATAGTAACTAGGTTCCTATATAGGTTTCCTACTTAAGACCTATGAGAAGAGGAATCTTATAGGCCTTAAGCTATGGAACGAAGTTTCTCCCGATTTCGCCGACTAGTTAGAAGAAGACTTCTAGAACGTACCTCCCCTAATCCTACGATTCTTTAAAGACTATTTAATCGGTAACGGCGTCTATGTCGAAATAGATAGTAAGAAAATCTCGAAAAACGTAGCATTAGCTTTTAAAAAGGAAGAATTCTACTACTAGTTACCTTAAGAACTCGAACAAGGCGTTAAGAGATATCGCAACTTAAAGGCTTTGATAAAAGACCCCGAATTCTACGAAGAGATTACGAGACTAGCAATAGTAGCTAATAGTATAGGAGGAAGAGTCGAACTAACCTTATAGCTACCTTCTTTATAAGAATAATAATAGTAGTAACTACCGTACCGACCGCTATATCCTACGGTCTCTCCGTTAATAGACTTCTAACTATACGAGTTAATAGACCGTATCGGAAAGCAATTAATAGAATTCGCGAAACTATACCCCGACGATATAAAATATAGCGGCGATATATACGATATACTCGAAAAGAAGATGCTAGTATTCGTAGATTACTATAGAATGCTAGGAATTTACACCTCCTAATATAACAAGGTACTTCCCCTAATACTAAAAGGAATAGCTAAAACCTACTTCTACGCCTCGATTAAAGTAATTAACCTATAGCCTAACTTCGAGACTATAATTAACTAATTAAAATCATACTTCGAGAA